ATATCTAATACCTGTCTCCTGCAGCTGAATCATCTAAAACTGTGGCATGTTTCACTGGCACTAATAAGTATTATATCTGCTCACATGCCTCAATCCATTTTTACAGAGAGATTAATAGCTTTCTGCCTCAGTAGATATTGGTCTGGAGGTGCGAAAGGTGTGACACATGATTCCCTCAAGATGAAGCACTGACAATGAGAGGTATAACATCTACACACATGCACAGCTCTGTTTGAGACCCTGCATATCAGCGCTGAAGACAGAAACATGACTGTCAATTTAATTTAGCAAGACTGGAATACTCTGAAGGGATTGTTATAGATGTGAATCTAAATTGACCCAAAATGACTCAGTGAACCATGTCATTAGCTAACATGACAAATTATGAATCCTGACCTTTTTCCTAGATCCAAAAAGCATCTATGTCGAAGCACCTAGAGCCTTGTTAAGTACAGAAATCCTCATGTGAGAGAAAAATGTGAGTGAAGAAAGGAACAGAATGTTCTAACATACCCTCAAATTACATTTAGGTACTTTTAGGACCTGACTTCACTCATCTCGTCAGTGCCTCAACCAAAGATTACTTGGAAACAATAAGGTCACTCACCTCAATACTGTCTGTTGAGCTTTATGGGTTTTTGCTCATGTGGTATGGATTTCATTTCTCAACAGAGTATTTGGTCAGTAATGACAGGGTACAACATGCATGGGACTAATCTTTCTTCTGACCTTGCTCGGTAACAACTTATTTCTTCTTGTTCATCCTGGTTCCTTGATGTTTGATGATGCCAGTATGGTCCTGTCCTTTTCCCATTTCAATGTAACTCTCAGTCATGTTTTAATCATGGGGGATTATTCTGTAAGAAAATAGAGCCTTTTAATACACAGCTTGGTTCAGATACAGTAAATAAAGAAAGAACTACAACAAAACATTTATTTTTCAACCACACACACACACACACACACACACACACACACACACACACACAGACAGAGGGAGAGAGAAAGAGAAAAGTTTTTTTTTTCCATCAGCGTGTGTGTGTGTGCGTGTGTGTGAAAGTGAGATTGACAGCCCTGACAGTTCTGACAGTTATGAGATTCTGAGGTGGGCTTTTTGATTGATGTGGCCAAGCAGGCAGCAGCCCCTGGATTAATCCCACTGAGTCAGTCCACACCCTGAACACACACACACACACACACACACACACACACACACACACACACACACACACACACACACACACACACACACACACACACACACACACACACACAAAATAATTTTAAGATGATGTGTGTGAAATACAGAACACTACAATGCACGTAGGTATATATGGAGAAATAAAACCAAATCATGACTGTGCTAAATAATATAATTTATTCAACTGACCTCACATGTTTACAACTATACTCTTATAGACACTGCATGAATAAATAAATAGCTGTAATTTCACTGTCAACAAACATCATTTTCAATGCTGCATTTAAAAGTAGACGAATTTGTTCCTATGTTTTTTTTGGTAAATACATTTATCACACAAAAATACAGCATCATTGCAATTTACGACATAGAGCCACAGATGTGTCAGTCCAACAGCTGACATTGATTCTTTTCGGTGTGTGTTCAGGTTTGTGGATGAACCTAAGCTAAGACACATTTATTATGAGGCTTATCTGATGAAGAGGAAAGCTTACATTCACATTTAAGTCCAATGAGATTGCCTGACACTTTGCATAGCATCAGACCAGCAGTCACCCCTTTCAGTTTCAAGCTGACGTCATCCTAGTAGCATAACATCAATCCCACAAGTTACCGTGGGAGTCAGGTTGGGATTTAGTTTACTTTACTGTACCTCAGCAGGTGTGGATGCATATGAGGATCAAGTCCCCTTCACCCCCTATCTGTGGTAAAGACTAACTACAAGGCCATTCTTCCGCCTTAAAGATAAGGCTGGTTTTTACTAGATTTTTCTTATTGTCACCAAATCCTTTGAAAAGACGAAAATCAACAATGATATGATTTTACTAACAAGTGTTGCCTCTGTAGCCCAAGTCTCATATTCCTCTGTGTATTCCACTGAGTTCCATTGTTGTCCAAAAACTATTAAAGCTGCATCAGTAACCCACACCTTTTCACAGGATGGCATATTCCTTCTTTAAGATTAATGTTGACACTGTGGTTTATTTTGAGTTGAACCCACATACACCATCCTTTTGCAGTAAATAGGCCTACTCACTAGAGCACCAAATGTGAATTAAGCCGCATGTGGAAATAGTCCTCAACAAATGCACCTGTTACTCCTGTCTGAGTAACATTTTCTGAAATCTAGAGTACCCACCTTTGTTTACTCCCCCTTTAAAAATGACGCCATATATTTGTGAACAATTTCAGAAGATTTTAGTCCACAATGATAAATGGGCTAACAGCTGAGTGCTACAGATGGTGCAGGGAAATCAGAGAATACCGGGAAACAACACAGTGTTGGTGTCGGTCATAATTGATATTAACTGTTGACAATAAGTAAAAAACAGTACATCACTAGCCTTATCTTTCAACCGATAAAATGTTTATATAAATTGTCATGTTTGCAGCCCTAATCAGCTCATTTTCCACCGCTGACCTTTGAATTAAGGCGAGTCCATAGAATTATAGACACCAACAAACCACAACAGCACTGAGAGGAGACAAACACAGAGAAGTCAACTGGACAACAGTAACACTTAACAATGCCAAAAATCATTATATAAAGTGACAACTCCTTTACTTGCTACTCCTTATACAGAGAAGCAGTGCATCTAGTAGTTCAAAACAACCAGACCTTCGTGGATGTAAGGACTTATATTTGGGAATTTATGGATGATGGCGCTTTATCAATTTCAACTCTTCATCATTGTGTATAACACACTGTAAAACAAACCCTTGTAAACAACATCTCGAACCTCTTTGTAGCATTAATCAAACGTCCTGAGGGCTAATTGACTGGGGATTGGATCAATAATGACCGGTGCTACTGACACCATCCTGGGAGGAACAATCACTTCCTGTCTCTGCTAACCTGCTGGCCAGTCAATACAGATGTAGGATGAGCAAACACACTATTATAGGCACACGCACACAGACATATTTCAAAATAGATTCTGTGAGATCATTTTACATTTTCAAGGGACCATATTGGTCCTTTAAAATAATATCAGTGTATATTATGTAGGTATACGGTACATTACTGCCAATCATTTTCAAAACTTCCTGTTGTGTAGTGATTTAGATTTCTGAATTTTAATACTGTCCAGGCAGCAATTTGGTTAATTTCATTTAGATATGGAAATGAATTTACAAAATTAACACCAAATGTGCTTTTATTGTTGTGAATGTTACTGTTGTATGTTAATGCCTTTGTAAATACAAATTAATTTAAAGACGTCTGCAAGTCATAAGTTTGACAGAAACAAGGATTGCAAATTGATTTTCACAACATATGGAAATTAGGGTAGCCAATGGCTGCCTGGAAGGTACACAGGAAAAATGTTCAAATACCTATAAAACTATAGATTAGTAGGTTGAATCTGGAAATATTAATCTGACTACATTAGGGTGGTGTGTAATAAAAGCTGAGGCTCCACTGGATCTACATTCATCCCATGATAATTCTGCAGAACTTTTTACGTTCAGTGCAAACCATTAGTGCCGATAGTGTGGAGGTCAAGGTAATGTTTAATGTATTTGGCACTAGAAAGCTGGGTTTGTGTCCCATCTTATACCAACAGTAAATGATGAGTTTTTCATGTTTAACTATGAGCATTGTTTTTCCTTAGCTGGTCTAATCAGCATTTTTATTTAAACATTGACAAATGATTATCAGCTCGTTTTTATCGTCTCCCAGCTCATTCTTTTGGTTCTTTACCCTTTTGGTTCACTCTCACCGCTTTCATCAACCTCATTTCCAGCTGCAGGACACAGCTGTTTTCAGCATAAAGCTCTGAGCACTGTATTCACTACTTTCCAAAGTTACCGGCTAACTGGTGAACATAGTGGAGTCAGTAATTTACTTCAGGAGTTGGTGGAGAACAAAACAGCGATAAAAGTAAAATTATTTGGCTATTGTAGTTGCAACATGGGAATAGTATGGAATAATTTATTTTAAAAAAGGTTGGCAGTGAACGTTTAAAAATGTTGTGATTGAACATAATCTGGGATTTTGCAGGATCATCCAATATCAACCCTCTGCTTGGCAAGTCAAGGGTTTGGGAATATCATGGTGGTATTAGATTCTTAATTTGACACTTACTGTGTCTGGAATATGTGAGTATGACAGGAGGATTAAGAGCAAGGTGAACACGAAACATAAAATCTGCAAAATAAAAATCAACTTCAAGTTAAAAGCAATGACGGAAAACTGCAAATTCAGTATAACGCATCTATACAACATAGGTCCTAAAAATATTATTGCTCTATTATTAAATCTTCTCAACGCAAGCTTACAACTCAGTCTAAAAAAAGTTAATGGTGCATTCCCTTGATGCCGCTTTGTCAGCAGGTGTACATCAACACACACATTGCTATGTGCACACAGACACAATTCCTTGGTTACATATTGCACTATTATCATGACCCACTGCAAACCCTTGTACACTTCCTCATATAGGCTTACTGTATGGCCATTGAAAGTTCCTCTGATCACTGTAGCAGCACTTAAATTAAAATGATTGTAGTGGTTTTGGATTCACAGTCATGATAAAAACACAAGAATGAGTATGTTATGCATAACACAGCTGATTGACAGTCAACTTCCTGTTTCTAGGCAAGGAATGTCAAAAAAGAAGGAGGCACCATGTCATCAGCATAAAACAAACTTGTGGAGTCACTTGGAAGCCACAGCAGATTCCTGTTGACTTAGCTTCCAGTGCGGCAGTAGCAAGTTTCCTGAAGAATGTCAATGCCTCTTTGACTATTCCCTCTTCTTCAAATTCCTTGGTTCTAGTTTCCTTTGTGCCTTTGTTGTTTAGTTTTCATCATGAAAAGCCTCTGGACTGGATGCCCCATCATCACTGAGGACCTCAGTGTTGGTGAAAGTTCCAGCAAGTGATGCACCCAGGGCCTGCTTGACAGGCGCCATCTCTGAAAGAATGATGTTATCATGGTTGCTCACCAGTGTAGCCTTGTCCATGATCTCCTTGCTGTGCTTGGATACCACAGCATCCAGGAAGTCGTACTTGTGTGACATCATACCACTTTCAAATAGGTACTTTGTCAGGTATGAAAAGGACACATTTGCCAAGAAGGATGCCACCATGGACACAGACTTGAACGGGAACCTCTGCTGGACAAAGTACTCCTTGTCACCAGTGAGGTGGTGGACCTTCTCCTGGATCACCCACCCGGGGTAGTAGATGAAGGGAGGGAGTTTGAGGTAGGGCTCCCCTCCACCAATGCGCAACAAAAGACCAAAGACATAGCCAGCCACAGAGCCATAAGTATTGGTGCCCTTGACGAATAACACACTGAGAAGTTGGGGAAAGATGATGACATAGACCAGGTCGGAGCTCAGGTACCACAAGCCATATACTGATCCTGTTAACAATGCCATAGCAGTAGCGAGAGCTCCGAATACAAAGATGGTGAGGCGCATCACCCAAACAATCTCACGATCTGAGGCCTGAAGGAAAGAAGAAAGGGATGACAGTGAAAAGAGTTTACAGCTAGGAGCTCTGTGAGGCTGTTCTGAGGTACAGCAATATTTTGAGCTAAATGCTAACAACAGCATGCTAACATTCTCACAATGAAAATGTTAACTTGTTTAGCATATGTAATGTTTAATGTTTTACTAATGTCACCATAATGATCAAGTATATTAGCATGCTAACATTTGCTAATTAGAATCAAACACAAAGTACAGCTGAGGCTGAAGTTTTTGTCGACAAACCAGAATAACTGACCTGATGGTTCTGGATAAAAAGGGATCTCCAAATAAGTGTTTACCAGATTTCATGTTCATCCATCCACCCAATAGTTGTCGAAACATTTCAATCAAAACCACAAAAGAAACCTTATGGTGGAGCTCAGGTAAAAGTCAGAGGTCATGAAAATCATGAGGATTCATCCTCTGGAAACCATGAATGCTTTAGAGCCAATAGATCATCCAAAGTTTCATATGAGTCTGAACTTGTCTGTTTGAACATTGTCTGAAAGTTTGTGGTCTGGTGCTGGTTCTGGTTATATTCAAGTACAGTGAGGGTAGATTTATTCTGAGCTGGTGTTTTTCTTTTTTTTTGTCGTTTTCAACATCTGACTCATTTGTAAACCAATGGGATTAAACTAATATTGATTTATCAGTTGGTTGACTGATGCTCAATCTATGCATATGTGTTTTGGTATTTTTGTTGGCTCTCTTACCGACTGCCGAAAGGCGAGCTGATAAATGTTCCTGGCAAACATGGAGCTGGCTGAGAGAATAGACGAGTCCGCTGATGACATGACCGCAGCTGATACCGCCCCGAGACCAAAGAAGGAGACATAGGGTGGACAAAGGTGCTGAAGCACTATGGGAAGAATCATATCTGATTCTTCCTTATCCTTCGGAGGGAGGGACCCGTAAGTAGTTTGGTTCCAGTCTGTAAAAGAGAAAATGTTGTAAAAGATGGAAATCGAAATGTCAAGGCTTATTTTAACACCTTATTTTTGCAATCAGTACTCTTCACTTCATCCAAGTATGATGATTATCAACGTGCCAAATGTAGCAGTATTTGCCTGAATACTTTTTACTAATACTGAACAAAAAACATCACAGCAATTTATGCAATACAACAACATAATTGCAGTTGAACAGCCTATACTTGGTGGTTCTATATTGAGATTTTAAAGAAATTTACCCAGCCAACCTGTGGAATTTTAAGCGGACTTATTAGCGTATTACAGTTGCTGTTCTAAACCTTTAGTTTTTCAGACAAAAGGCTAGATTTTAAGACCTGATTATAATGTTCCCTGTGGATACGCCTTTCTCAGTAGCAGAACAATAAAAGGGCTTCACGTGTCTATGTGCTAAAATACAGAAGAGATTATAAATGTAAGGCTGTGCTGTTTGCCAAAATACAGGGGATAAGCCGTGACAGAGGAAAGTCACAAATAATGGAAAAATATGATATCCAGGTAATATTAACTGGTTAACAAATACACTGGTCTGCCAATGGTCCAACAGGCAACAAAGAAAATATAAGTCAGTGTTGAGTAATACATTATGTAGTTTAATTGCATTTTAATTGTCAATCTGATTAATAATAATTGCATTTATAATGATTAATTTCTGCAGCAAGCCATTGATTCTAATGAGACATTTTGATGGCTGATTAAATACAGAGGTCGATGTACCATAGGTGTATAATTTTTCTTGAGGAAACACTGAATACTGCGAAATCTGTGAATTAAAAAGGTAATATATTAATTTGAAATAGTCATCAGTGGCCACTGCTTCATCAAGCCAACATTTACTTGCAAGGACATTACTCTCATACATCAAACTACACCACCATTTGTTCTCTTGTCTCTCTTTTGCCTTTAAACCCTCTGACATCCTTCTATCTCTCTGCCCATTTTTTCATCCTTCTCTTCATCCTACAGAGGTACACAGTCTCTTTCCCTCCCTCCCCCGGTTATTCACAAACAGCAGTTGATTAGTGCCGGTTATACATGAAACAGCTTCAGATGGACCAGATTAATTAGCTCCTCTTCAGATGTAATATTCACTAAATCAGCATGGCCCGATGGCTCTCTCTTCTGCCCGTCGTGACAGGATCCGTCTGCTGTTGTTTACCCTCCAGACACCGTATGCATCTACATTTACACATCTGAAAAAAAAGCTGCTGGGGTGTAAACAACCCAGGAAGGCAGTGCGCTCCCTTTGATCACACTTTCCTATTTGAATAAAGGATCAGATTCCTGGATGTTTCGATTGTCTTGTGATGTTTCATTAACTGCTTAATCAATGTACGTGTCTGTGTGTATTCACATAATTCACGGATCAGCAAACTGAATTCACAGCTGCAATCCAGACATAACAGTGTGTGTGCGTATTAAGCTTAAAAAACATTAGATGAAACTTGAGTTTGGTCATTTTTGTATCTTTTATGGGAATCAAATCTGGATATAAATAACATCTAACTGCATCAATAATAAAATTCTTTATAATAAATACTATAACGCTTGTGCTCATTGTTTAAAAAGAGCCGTTGTTAAATCCTGAGCAACTTCCACATGTTCTGAAGTGACAGGCTTGAATTAAAGACATTTTTAAAAATGATTAGGATGTGAGTGCTGGGGCTCCGGTGCATGTGCCTGTGAGTGTGTGTGTGTGTATTTACCAGTGGAGGCCCCTATAGCTCCTATGAGGACCGAGGGGACGGCCATGACCAAGCAGCCGAAGGCGGCGAGGAAGGAAAGGACCTGGGCATAGGTAGCTGAAGAGGCAGAAAGAACCCGTTGAAAATAGACCTGCCAGGGAATCCCCCCCAACATCTAGAAACAGAAACACCATAGTAAATACAGACACCAAACCAATGCATAACAATCAGCTAGACCACCACCAACACAGCTCTGAACCTTTAACGTTAGTACTGTACAACAAATGTGACAAATCTCCTCTGAAGCTATGCTTTGTGTTTTTCTAATGGTGATAACTTGTTATTCACCTTTAGAAGAAGCCTGTATCTAAACTAACAACAACAACAACAACAACAACAAAACACTAAGATGCCCTGTGCCTAAACTGCACCTTCAATACTTAATTGAAACCCCCTTCTTGCAACACTTGACAGTTTAAGTGGAATCAAAGTGTGTATCCAGTTTACTTTACAGTGATATACTGTGTCTTGATGAATTTTCTGATAAAAGTTATGGCTTACCAGCAAACAGAAGTTGTCCGCCCAGCGCCATTTGTCCTCGGGCTCAATCTTCCCCAGCCACGGTGATTGGTAGATTGCTTCCTTGGCTGAAACGCTGATGTCTGACACGGCAGGATTGGACAGGGCAAAAGGAACGCTGATCCACTGATGGAGAGGAGGGTACAGAAGCCAAAATTCATTACAGTTTCAACAGATATTCAGTGATTTTAATGTGATTCCACTATCAAAGTGTTTGGCTCTGACATTGGATCCCAATACCACAGTCTTTGCCAAAAAGTTGGATATTTGTAGACTAGTGTCTTTAGATATAAATCAGTATGTTCCTGCCAATGTGACCCATTTCTGATACAAATAACATGTTGCTTTTTGCGTATTTAATATATTTATAATACATTTGATCAGATTTCACACACACAGGCCTATATATATATAGATGTTTTGTAAATTTATAAGTTTTTGGCATGAAAATGGTCTGATGAAAACAGAATTACACTGGCAAAACCCTGTTTGATAACACAGGGAGCCAACAGTCTCACAGTGAAACTCACCAAGCCCACAAAGATACAGAAGAGCTGGACCACATCCGTGTATGCGACAGAGTAGAGTCCTCCAACAAGTGTGTAGAAGATAGCTATCAGAGCTGAGATCACCACAGACATATTGATGTTTATGTCCACGATCACGCTCAGAGTGGCACCTGCAGGGCAATACATTCAGCTCAGCAACTAGGAGTAACAGTAAACAGTAATTTGAAGTGGTGCACATGATGGGTTTAAACATATAGGGCATTTAAAGCCTAGTTTAGCCACAGATGTGATTATATTCAAAAGATCCCATCCTTAGATCACCTACCCAATGCAGATAAAATGGCTGCAGACCAGAAGATTTCTCCCATGAGAGCAGGGATGAAGAGCAGCCCCCCCATCCTTTTTCCATAAAGCTGCTGGAAGGGATCCAGCATGGTGACATAGCCACGCGATCGCATAGGTTTGGCAAAGAAAAGGCCACCTGAACGATGTCAGACATTAAGGTAGAGCATAATATATTATTTTAGAAAGTGTATTTTACAAACTCTAATGAAAGTCTTTGTCTAACTTGAAAGTAGGAAATCACATTCATCAACAGACAGATAGATAGATAGATAGATAGATAGATAGATAGATAGATAGATAGATAGATAGATAGATAGATAGATAGATAGATAGATTATTTATCCCCTAGGTGATTTGTGGTAAATAGCCCAAAACATGCAAAGTTACAGGTGTGGTTCTTTAAGAAGTATCTTGTGCTTCTAATTTGCACCCATCCTGCATTCTTACTGCATATAGTTCTGTATACACACTCTCTTTGTACAGTATAATTAAAGAAGCTGGTTCTTACCTACTACCAGGCTGAGAGCATAACCAAACGGTGCCTGTGCCCAAGCCAGGCCGTAGTCTGGCAGGTAGACATACTCTGCTGTCCCATTGATGTAGCCACCACCCACCCAAGTGGCTGAAACCAAGAAAAAAAAGTCTTTCATGAAAGAATGGTTTGGTGCATGTTGCATAAGAACTTTAAGTTGTCTGAAATGTTGAGTTGTGGTAGTAAATTATATTTTTGGCTCCTGTGTTGTTCGTGCGTAAAAGACTGAGTTTGAGAAATTATTGTCTTTTTCTGACCTCATGTAACACCCAAATGTGACAGCACGTGCACACAGGTCACTGTGAAAATGTACTAACAAACTTAAATTCAAAGCAACCCCGTAGTTAGCAAACTCACCGGTCATTGTGAATCCACCAACGAACAACCCGATGTCTCTTCCCCCGACCATGATACTCTCGCTCCGGTCTCCGCTTTCGCCAACTCCGGAGTTTTTATTCTTCCACGCGGCCCAGATCCCCACGAACAGGATCAGGACGTAAAAGACCACGATAGCCACGAGACCCTCGGCGTGGATGGTCATCTTCCCTTCGTCCGCTTCCTCCCGCCGAGATCAGGTGATAGTGCGCGCGGAGGGCTGGAATCTCATGGAGAGAGCTCTGAAGAAAAATTTTGACTGTTTTTGACTTTTATCTGAAATATTTTCTTTTTTTTTTCAGAAGTTTCACCTTGTACCTTTTTTCAAGTCTGAAACAGACAGACTCCGGTTACTTTGCTCCCATGCGAATCACATGGAGCATGATAAAAAAAAACATTTGAAAAGGAACTCTTAACCCAATGGACAACTTTAAAATACTGAAATTCAAACGTTTTATCTGACGCCACCAAATTCTTAAAAGCTAGACGATTTACTATGTCCTCAGTTTAAGGTGTGTAGAGTTACATTTCATGTAACCAACAGATGCCCAGTGCTTTCCATTCAGAGAATGCAAAGTATTACACTTGAATGTTAGATTTTCTACTAAAAAAAACGATCCACGCATATTTAAAATATCCAGTGGTGAGCATTTGAATATTCCCCGTTCACCAAAATTATATTAACACTTAAACCCAAAGACTTGTCACACCCAAGCAGATGCAATTCAGTCCACAACAGTGGAGTAATTATAGGAGAAAACACACACACCCAATTTTCCTGCAAATTGCAGTTTAAGAAAACAAACACAAAAATATTTCACATTATAGGCTGAAAAAACTGTGTTTTCTGTCAATTAAATGTCTGTTAGTAGCTTCAATTCACTTATGTCAAATTAGTAAATGAAAGAGCGATAAAGTCCTAGCATCCAAAATGAGATGCAACCAGAAAAACACAAAACTGCCTGTTTTAACTACACACCTCCCTGGTGACCATATATTTTACTCAAAGCAACAATTAGACAAGGACCAGTTGGCACTGGAAGCCTCTTTGATTTGCACAATTTTAAAATACTTTTTTATGCAATTCTCGCTTTGTTCTTCACTCAGTACTTCAACAACAAAAGATCTTATTTGGACTTGTTTAGTAAAAGCTATAAGAGGGGCCATACCTTATCGTATCCAATTGACGCATGTAACAGAGGGAGAGGAACAACAGTGCTCCATCGTGTGTTATCAGATCAAATGTTATGAATCAGAATAATATAAAACTGATCAGAGGAGTTCACGAATTATTAGTGATGGCTTTGTTGTCCAGCTTTAAAGACAGTTGAACGTCTTTTACGCGCGACTCACTTCAATTACAGACATGCTTACTCCACTTACTGTGCCAGTTTAAACACTAAATGTCTGCTAATTTTCACTTAATTCTATAAAAGTGTAGAGGATACAGTGTAGCCTATTATGTGAAAAATCTGGACCGGCATGCTTTTGTTTCCTGTACTGCTGTCGTGCGTAAAAGTCCGTTAATGCTTCTCCCAGATGACGCACCGTCAAAAAACCTGCGAACCATAAACCAAAAGACACCGAAAACAAATGGATAAGGGTTTAATTTCTGATGTGCTGCATCACTACAACCAAAGCTGAGGTTTTCAGCTCCTCGTTTCGCTGATAGCACGGTTCCAAGAAGCCGGTGCTGCATTATTGATCTCCCTTTAAATCAACATCTGTCACTTTGGTCAAATGCAGTTACATTCAGTCAACACATATTAGTTAAAGAAGGTAATCTCAGAAACTGACATAATCTTACCTCTCCTTCGGAGAAACAGGTGTAAATAGATCACAGGAGCAGGGCCTCCAAAAGAAGCTTTAAAAAAAGTGTCAAAGACGGGTTTTGTTTGTTTTGTTAAAATGTTATGGTACGAGAAAATATTCCTCTTGGACGAGCAAACACAATTCTCCTATGTTGTTTTTTTTAAGTCACCAATGCTCGTCAGAGAGAGAGAGAGAGAAAGAGAGACGGAGGGAGAGGGAAAGAGCAAGGGAGGGGGAGAAAGGGTGGAGGTGGGTGGAGGGGTGGAGATGAATGGGAGTGGTGGGTTTATTGGGTCCTGTCAGGGTGGGTAGATGGTGGATGAATGTCTTCCAGGGCAGGACGAAAATAGCACCTAATAGTGAGTGGCATGACGCACAGCCTCTCCGGGAACGCTTTCCAATATCATAATATCATACTGGCAATGGATGAAACCTTTGCTCTGCCAGGTTACATTTCAGGCCTGATTTACGATCTTGCACAGGTCCCCGCTTGCAGGTCCCTCGCTTAAAGCGTTTACTCTGCAAACGCTGGCTGAATGGTTTTAATGGTGAGGATGTAAGGCCTGCATAGGATTACTTTTCCATTTTATGACCCACCTTACGCACGCAGCCCAACTCTGACGCCTTTATTCGTCCAAGAGCATCACTTAACTCACCCCAAACATCAAAACTAAAAAATCAGACAGAAGTTATGAGGAAGGAGCGATGTGGATTCATAGGATATTATTCTGGTCACTTTCAGTACAATCACCATGTGAGAGACAATGTTTGGGCATTTTCTTTATATGTACCTGGGAAAGGATGTTACCTCTTATAGCCTGCCCTCAAACCTGAGGAGAAAAGGAACTACAATCCCCACAACGACACCACCTCCTCTCCTGCAAAATGTGTTACTTTCAATGCTGGACAATAGAGGAGGTTTTACTTGGATCAGTCAGTCGCTGTCCGTGGTGCTGAAATGTGAAAACAAAACGCCCACAACAGAAACACTAGATGAGAAAATTCACTTCACCACATCGCTTGCTTCCATTTAGGCTGTAACGAGCGAATCAGTGCTCCTACTCAATTGAGAGTTTAGTATGTGGCCTTATTAAAATTGGCCATTTGCTTTGGTATGTTGCCATTTGAAAATATAATTACATTTTACTCACTCAGCGTCTTACGTTTAACAGTATGGTTCCCATGGGAAATAGTATAACAAGCAGTTTTCTTTCTTGAATTTCAAAATAAATTCATTTTTCATTCTTCACCATAAATATATATAGTCATTTTGCTCCTTGATGTAAACGGAGATGTTGACTCGTCCGACTGCTGGAAATGAGAAAAGGGACTTGAATTGTGACATGTCCTCTAATTGAGTGTGTGTGTGTGTGTGCGGCTGACAGGCTGCCAGACAGGGCTGCTATAATTGGAGAGTTTTCTAACAAAAAGCCACAGTGTTACAGGTAGTTATAGGCAGACAGCCTGGAGAACTTCAGAGGAGTAACTTCATATTCGGCAGCCACCTGGTGATAATCATTTCCATTTCACACATATGGTTTAACGACTCAGACTGTATGTTAGCTCTATTCTTAGGGGTGCTAAATGTCAACCAATAGATAGCTTATGCTATATCTAAGTGAATACAAGACAGCTGGCTCTTACTGAAGGCCACCTTCTCAAATACATTTGTCGCCATCTAGTGGCCTTTTCAAGTTTTACTCAAGTCTGTGTGAGGGATATGAGACAAGAGACACTTTGCAGCATATATTGAGGATTTAAACTGACCACCAGCAAGTCTGGTGCACTTAACCACTGCAGGGTTTCCTTTGTGTTACTGTTAACAGTCCAGTTTTGAAGTCATCTCTGTATTTTAGGTCAAAAAGAAGCATGTAGCCACCTCATCCTCACAGATTTTCAAAAGGCCTCTTTCCATATTTTGACTTGTCAAAGCATTTAAGGAACAGGTGGAGCTAATACTGTCAGAGCTGTGTTGCTACTTTGAAAAGTCAACATATCTACTAGGGCCAGTGAAGACAACAATTTTTGAGTATTTATAAAGTATTTTTATTATATCAATTATATTTAAATGATTAGAAATGCATTAATTGTATATTTTTGTCAACTTGAAAATGATTTAGAGACAGTGACTACAGATATTAAGTACAATATGTTTGTTTAAAAAAGTAATGGTGCATTTGTATTGTCATTTTCAAAGAGTTAATCCCAGCTAAAAAGTGTTCTCCAATAAGGATGTGACAGAACAACTGGTCATTTATTAACATGAGTGATACAATGAGAGTGTGGAAACTGATTTATGCAGTCGCTTCTGTGACTATTTTCAGGAAAATGTTGCCATCTTCTGGTCCTTCAGGTACGTAGCAGCAGGTTTTATTTTCTCACTTCTCTTACACACACAGTGGTTCCCAGTTTTGCAAGGAACCACCATAATGTGACCTAAGATCTGATCACAATGAAGTTTGAAGAAAGGAGTTTGGGAGTTTGTCAAGTCGTGATATCCTTTCAAATATGGCAACTGATATTTGGTCAAATATAGGATTGTAGGACACTGGTTCTTCCTTTTCCCTTTTCCATCTTGTTTTATGGGTATGGAGGAGGCGCAAATACTTGGAGAGGTATTAAAAATAAGTTGGGGATGTGGTCAATTGACTGTTTTGAACCGTTCAGTATCAATTTCATTCATACGCAGATCTTGTGGCCTCACAGTTACTATGTTAGTGTCTCCCCCAGTTTTAGACATAGTTATTGAGCCTGTAGCCGCTGCTGGAAAGGGAGCAAAGTGAGGGAGCGTGATTGTCCTTTAGCGCCTCTGGGGGCTTGTAGAGTGGAGCAGGGGTATATATGTTGTAGAAGCAAGGGGGAGGTGATGATGGTTGATTCCTCTGCATATGGGGTGGACTCTGTGACCTGGCACCCCTACTGCTCCAGCACAGCACCAGTCCTCCACTCAGGCTGAGGCAGGCCGAGGCGTAGCCGAGGTATACGGCCAGGCCGATCTCATATTTCATCCCGCTGGGAAGGAAGGGGTCGTAGAATTCCATTATGACATCGTTGGTGGTCCAGGACACTGTGACCAGGCAGAGAAGACCAGCACAGAGGAAACAAATCCCCCCACTCATCGCCAACGGAGACTTGATCAACGAGCCACGGGCAAAGCGGGTACATTTCATCCCCATCGCAGACACTACAGATGCCAGGACTGAGGTGATGCAGGAGAGCACCATGAGCGCCCGGGCTGCCTAATTTGGAGGAGAATAGACAAGCACTGTTAATGTTGGGACTAACCCTCTTGGTAAGTATTTCTTATTTGGTACAATCACGGTGCTTCATATACTCTCACTTTCATCACCAACAATTTTGTACATATAAGGGTTTAATGAAGTCAAAGTGTTCCCTCAACTATTTGAGAGAAAAATAATAAAAATTTTGCAATTGTTTTTATCTTCACACATACAGTAGTGCGGTCAATAAGGAACTAAATCCAATCTTAAAATTGTATTCTTATAGTCTTTAGCCGTAAACTGCACTCTGTCCCGTAGCAGCTACAGTACTTGGCAATCAATCAAACCACTGGTTAATTAATATCAAACAGTTTGTACAGTATAGTAGGATTGCATAAAAGTGTAAATCATTCTTTTAAGACTTTATTCTGGATCCTGAGCTCTTATTGGCAAATAGCACACAATTTACACTTAAAAGTAATTCTCTTAGATTCACTAAAATACCTGACCTTCCATCTATTAATCTGGGCAACTAACAGTTCAAATCACAATAACATTCACTTTACAATGATCTAAAACAGACAAAAGCAGTCAATCCTCACATTTAAGAGGCTCAAACCAGAGAATGGCAGGCACTTTTTTGAAAAATGACCAAAACAATTAATAGATTATTAAAATATGTGGCAATTTGGTTCTGGTCATTGCAGCTTTTCTTATGGTAACATACAGAAAGATAGATGCAGTACAGTAAGTTGCTAAATGGTATGTGTGTAATACCTGCAGGTCGCGTGGCAGTGCTAGTAGAGATCTGTACAGCTCACATTGGTAAATGCCAGTGCTGTGCCATACACACTCCATCCACAGGCCTTTCATGTAGGCGGTGGCTGTGATGATGTTTGAGCCCACATAGGCTGTGCTGCGCCAGTGGGGGAGCAGAGTTGAAACTACAGTTCCCACAAGTCCCAACAGCCCTAAGAAGAATCCAAGGAGCTGAACTGCCATGCTGGCCATGATTGTTTCACTCGGACAGGTGCTAAAACTGCGAAGTACAAAGTTACAGCCACAGTTGATGAGCTTGTATACACACTAGGAGACAATTAACAGCATCTGGATGTCTCAAAAGTGCTTGTTACTAATCGGGCTCACGAAAGTACACTGAATTCAGAGGTTACATACGAAAAAATAGGAAAGTCAACCCAAAAAAACTACTTTAAATATATGTAACCACATGAAAAAGAAGCACTTTTGGAACAAAACTACAGTCCCCCAGGCTGAAGATGTGGCTGGATTCCTCCTGTTATCTGCATGGTCCCCAGCAGTACAGTAAATTCCACTGAGCTAACTTCCAGTCACAGCGTCTGAGCCATTCCTTAAGTGTCTCTGGAGTGCATTCAGAAATAGCTGTGGAAACTTTCAGTATTATGGCATCAGTCTCTGGTGAGTGGCAGATGACTGCATCTGTAACTAATGAGAGCAGTGTTCAGCTTCACCTGTTTAACGCTCTCCTCTGGAGGGCAAACCACAGCAGTCTATTTGTTAAGCTTTCTGCCACCCCTCAGGAAAGGAGAGAGGGAGAGAGGAAATTAAACATTTACAGAAACTGCCCAAGCTGAGAGCAGTGTTATAAACCACTAACTTTGAAATTTTTCACAGCTCTGCAGGGTATTTGAGAGAGTGGGACTGAATGACTTGATCACAGAACTGGGCCCTAAACTGTGGAGTTAAGGGATATTAGTGACCGTTGTTGTAATAATTGGAAAAATTCTATTATCATCAATTTACTCTCTGATTTAAGATCATCTGGCACAAGTTTGACACACATAGCAGTAAAAATTCCACCCTCCCTCACAGTGAGAAAATAAGAAAGCCATTGGTAGTTAAGCATTTACTTTTGTTCCTTCCCAACGTTTTGTACATAATATCCTCTAGGTGAAACGATCCTCAATAATGAACCGACAAAGTTTTAGAACAATGACAAACCACGTCTCTAAAAAATACAGTGTTAAATAAATGGACAGATAATACTCCTTAAATTCAAAATTGCTCATTGTGCCAACATGACTAAAACAGACTGGCTTTAAATTTCAATCCAGAGAAGACAAACTGTGCTTATACAGCCCCATTGTTTTGACTTCCTCAGAGAACAGAGGCTGTTTATAAAGCCTGATTATTGTTCAGTGTTAGACCTGGTGCTGTTGGGGCCTCTTAAATATCAGAGATATAAGCGTCATTGTGCTTAATTAATGATTGACTACAGTGAAAGCATAACAAGTAAGCAATAGGAACAAAAGCAAAGCAACACGTGACAAGTGACAAGCATCTTTTTCACATTTGTTTGCCCACAAAGCTGAGTTTAGTCACTCATAACTGTGCGAACCACTGAATTCTGACCAAATGGAGACTGCAATCTCTACACTGTGAAATACTGTACATGGACTGCTGCTTAACCTTCCACATTTTAAATACTTAGTAAAAACAACATTTGAATACTCACCAACAAGGTTACATGAGGACTACAGAGCCATGGTCACAGGTGTCCAGACGGCACACTTGTCCTAAGTGACAGAGACGTATTTGGAGAAGCTCCAGATAAATAGGGTCACTGGCATTGATTCCGCACTGACCAGCTCCTTCTGTCTCTGTTTCAGTTTTAACAGACAAGTAAAATGTGTGTGTGCTGCAGGACTGTCAAATATGTGACTGGCCAGATATTATCATCGGCATTATCCCTGTCAGCGTCAGCAGCACCATGTCAGTGATGACATGAGAGACAGTACTGCTGCTGGCTTGTTGCTCCGCACAGATAAACAGGGCGGATGTCAACTATTGGAGGCAGAGCAGAGACAGACAGAAGAGATATTGTTCTCACTGGTTGTGCTGCTTTAGTCTCAATAATTCAGCTCTCTGCATCTCCACATCTGTGCATAATACATAATGAAATATGAAATGAAAAGAATGAATGAATAGATAATTTCATAATCAGCCTATCAACTCATATCTAACTTATACAAAATCATTTATACTAATTAAATACAGACAGCAGGAATTTAAACAGTAAAAGCAATACTGCACCAAACCAGCACTGCAAAGCTGACAGCCAAACTGTACTTGATGGTAATGTGGTACATACTGTATGACAACCCAGGTGAGGTCATTCAAAACTGCGGTTTTATCCTGGGTCCATCTTCTAAGTCCATCTTCTTGCTTATCGCTCTCTCCCTCTGTGCCCGAACCCACCATGACATCCTGTTGGTATACAAAAGCATTTTCCTGGCCTTCCCCTGGGTCCCTCATGTAGTATTCAGCTCGCTGTAAGAGCCCTATAGTGAAGGGATGATCCTCTCCAAGGTCTGCCTGTGGGAGACGCCATTTGAATGTGGAACACTTAATAGTCTTAGTTAAGCTGAATAATCCTGTGATTAGCAGCTGAGCATAGCTGGTTTGTTGCACACTGCTGGAGGGTAACACAACCATTTCGACAGTGTAGTACAGGCCTTCCTTTTTTTAAAGGTTTTTTTATGTGTTCAAAGGTCTGAAAAGTTGCAATCTTCTCTGTATTACGCAAACCTTCTTAACATGATGTATGTAGATACACACAACACTAGTACAATTGACAGGCCCTGCATACACACACAGGTGTTGTGGTAATTCTGGCTGATTGAACCTCTGCTCAGGTTTTGGCTGGAGCAATGATGGGAGTTATGGGAAAAAAGCTGGAATGAAATGTAACTATATGCACTTTTATCAAGTATATGTTTTGGGAGACAGTCAGAGGAAAATACTAATACTATTACTACTACATTTAAAAATAATAATATTAATAATAATAATAATAATAATAATGATAATACACTTTGTTTGTATAGCACCTTTCATACAATAAATGTAGCAAAGTGCTTTACAACAAAGAAATGACATGAAAAAAAATACAAAATGAACATAAAACATTGTTAAAAACACTGATCTAAAATGAAAAGCGTTAAAAACATTAATGTAAAATGAGATACAATAATGAATAAAATAATAAATAATCAAATAGGCAGACATTTAAAAGAAGTGCTGAGCAGTGCATAAATGTGGCGCAAAGTGCAAAATTTCAGAGCTAGTTAAAGGCTAAAGTAAAGAAATAAGTTTTGAGGCTTCTTTTAAAAACACTTAGTGAGCTGACCTCTGATATCAATCGGTAGTGTGTTCCATTGCGTTGGGCCATTACTGACAAAGGCTACATTTGCCTCAAGGTTTAAGTTAAACTTTACCTGGCAAATTTAATGTTTTCACCATTTCTTTTGTTATTTTCTTAGCGCAAAGATGAAACATGCTAGATATGCGTCTTTACTTGGACACTTCAGTTTACTTTACTATTGTTTATTTCGCGCCGTTGTGACTGAGTCATCAAAGACATTAAGGCAAGCTAACACTCAGCTGACTTGTCCTTTACAGCTGACATTAACTGCCCATAAGTTAATAGTATTGGTAAGCTACTTTTAACATTAGCTTGTATTCCTATTAATTATATGTTTCTTTCATTGGCTACATAAACGGAAACGTTTATAAAGTCACAACTTACCTAGCAATACTTTGTCAGGAGTTCAGTTTAGCTAACGCTAGCTAGGTTAGCTTGTGAGTTAGCAAAGTCGGTTCTCCTAAACCAGACAGAAAAGTGAAACTGTTTGAGTTGTAGCAGAGACAGTAGAGTATCTTTGGTTGTAACTAGGTCAGCTTCACAGTTTCTTTCATCTCCAGGTCAAACGTTCATTATCCTTTTTAATGCAGGCAACTCAGTGGTGATGGACATGGTGAGGAAAGTCCACAGAAATGTTCGGAGGCACCCTCTGACACACAAGTCTCAGCAATACAAAAGGACCCTTCCTCCAGCAAGAACCATCATGACACGCAGCCAGTGTATACCCAGCACCAGCTTCTTCCACAGGCTCCCATCAGAGGTGTTTGACATGATCCTGGACAAACTATCTGGTAAGTGTTATTGGCTAGGCCTATAGCTAAACTTACCCAATGAAAGGTAGGTAAGACAGACAGCAGCCTGGCTTTAATTTGATTAAAATTGGCCAAGGTCAGAGTCAAGAGTGGTGTGACATTCTCTACACACAATACATGACATATCTAGGCATGTAAAGAAGCTGCATTTTTGCAACTTCTATGTGATTTGGGATTAAGAATGCATACATTCAAGAATACAGTGTTTTTATTTATCAGCACGCACGCACGCACACACACACACACACACACACACACACACACACACACACACACACACACACACACACACACACACATATATATATTTAATTCCAGTTTTTGTACATTAATTAATGGTAACATCAAATGTGTTTATGTTAATTTAAAAGACTGAATAAATATCTTAGAATAGAGTTTTGCATAGCATATGCAGTTTACACAGCATACTAAGCAGCAGATTTAGCATGTTTGTACTAAAAATTATATCCATCTCTTCAATTAAACCTGTACTTCAGTGTAGATATTGCAGTTTAGTAGGTTCACTGAGAAACATGCAGTATTATGAATGAACATTTTTGTGTTTGTCAGTGCTGGAGATCAGTGTGTTTAGCATGGTGTCCAAAGAAATCACTAGACATGTTGTGGACTACATCTCCACCCTGGCCTGGAAGAATAAAATGATTGTCCAGAGCTTTCACCACTCCACTTTCCCTGAGCAGAGCTCCACTATTGAACACTACAGAAACCTGGGTAAGCAGCAATTTATATTTTGCTGAATATTTTGCTTTGTATGATCACCACACAGCACTAAGGATAAGCCATTCTTTGGAGTGAAGGGATAGGAAAGAGCAGAATTTGTCATTTTTTTAACTTGATAATGTGCTTTTGTGTTGACTGTCAGGTTTGTTGCTCAAGAGATGTACTCTTTTGCTACCAACAAAGGAGAGGTTAAAGTTTATCTTCAGCAGGTTTTCACAGGTAATAAATGGGAAGGTGAGATGACAAGCAAGAACAGAACACTGTGATGTGTTAAATGCTTTAGTCTCTTTTCTCTTGATAGGATTAGGGGACAGAGCAAGAGAGCATAGCATGGTTTGCGAGTTTGCTAATTAATTTTGAATATTTAGTTGGGAGGAACAATAAAGTATCAAAATATTTCTGATTTTTGCAATATAGTTTTCATTTTCACGTCATATTATTTTATTATATCCATTTATTTACATTAATGGTACACACTTTCATCAGATATATTGTGCAATTTGTATCTGTTGTTTCAGCTGGACAGAAAGGCTATGAGTATCTTTTTGCTTCACATCAACTTTTAACATATTAGTTACTTAATTGGTCATTTGCTGTGCAGGAAGATCATGCATGCCAACACAGCAAACAAAATTATTACACCAGGCTAAATGAGTTTGTTTATCAAATGGGCTGCACTATTTGTTTTTTATGACTTGTCATGAAAAAGCTAAATTTGCTAGTTTTTACTGTTTAGTGAGCTGTAAAATAGTTAATAAAGATGGTCTTAATTTGCCATATTACATTATATGAAATGTGACTATTGCAGAAGCCTACATTGTAATTGTCACCTAGTTAATATATAGTTCCATCTTCTTATTGGTGGTAACAGATAGTATTGAATGTTGTCCTATTGATCTGTTATAGACTCCCTGCTTCATGTTGGAGCAGTGTCTAACTCCAGACTGCATTGGCTTTTCCGCCTATGGTGTCTTCCTCCAGGTGAGGGACTCAGAAACTATGTATTAGATTGATCATTGAATGTAATTAAAGGAAATCACAAATCAAGTACAGCTAAGAGTGGATAAACACAATGTAATTACATGCAGATTCCATTACTTAAACAAGCTTTCAGAGATCCTCCTCTTTTTCAAATATTTGTTCATAAACTTCCACCCCCTGTGGTTACAGCCTAGTAAAGTGACATGCTGAAGTGCAGACAAACCAGACACACATGAAAACTTGCCCTGTGTCTTAGCAGGACCATATGAAATAACGAAGTTATGAAATAAAAAAATATTAGCTAATGTCATGCTGATTTCTTTACAGACACTTATTGCAGGGTGGGATGAGTTGGAGTGCCACAGAGTGTTCAACTTCCTGTGTGATGTCACAAACCTGCTGCAAAAAATTGAGGCAGTTATCACTGCAAAACCAGGTGTGTGTTTCATGTGTGGAAGGGAAAATACAGCTGAATGTAGAAGAGGAAAAAGCCAAAGTGTTATATAGAAAATAATCTGTCATGGAGGATATCAGTCTCTGTTAAACCAGCTATGTCCAGTCTGAAATCCTCATAGATTATTCATTCACTCTCTCTGGCTCAGATCCATGGTGGTGGAGATAGTGATGTGCATGATTACCTGAGTTAGTTTAAATCTGAGTTGTTACAAAATCAGTAGAGAGTAAGCTAATAGCAGTGCAGAGGTGTAAAGTGAGGTGACTAACTAGTCAGTCTCTTAGTAACTCTGGGCCTTTTACGCTTTAGCTTTGTGGAAGTCTCAAGAAGCATGATACAAAAAACATGCTAAATTCCTTGTCTGTATGTCTGCTCGTCAGGGGTGAGATGGTACCAGGAGCTGCAGCTCCGTCTTTTCTGCCGTCAGGTTCTGTTGGACCCATGGTCGAACCAGCCAGAGTGTCAGTTCTGGCTAATACAACTCCTGAAGCCTTGGCCCATGGTCAGCCAGGCACACTTACTGTTCATCCTCTTTGGACCCCTGCTTCCTGAGGGTAATACAACTTTTATTTACTATATTATTATAATTTTTGTCTACACTCACCCTGAGATCATGATCAGCCTGTGACTGTCCTTTTCCAGTCTTGTGTTTGCAATGTAGTTCAGTCACATGAATTATAGGTTAGTGGTGAGTATTACCCTGAAATAAATTGCTTTCTGCACATAATGGCAGCAAATAATGACTGCTACCATTTTGGCCATAGTTGATAATTTATGTTCAAATATGTGGAAATTTGATTAAAATGCACAATGTACAGTTGTCAAATCAGTTTGAGCAATCACACATAGTTGGAATCAAAGCATAGAATTAGTTGTATTATGTATTATTTAGTATGTGGTAGTGGAGAGACACAGGAAGTGAGTGAGTTTCTCTCTACAAACAGGCACTCTAGGTTGGCAGGATCTTGTGGACAGGGGGCAGCCTCACAGCGCTCTGTGGGACCTGGCCAGGGCCATCCTCCTGCTTTTCGGGAAACTGACAGTCAAAGGCTGGACCACCGACTCAATGCTGGCAATCCTGGAGGAGCTCATTGGTAACATACTTCATTGGTTCTCAAATGTTTTCATGTCGCAGACCTCCAGATAGACACATAGTCTATGGACCCCAAGGTGACATAAGACTTAAACACAGGGTCCCATAATCAAAGAAGTCTTATAGTCTGTAATATTAATTAGATGCCCTGAAAACTCAAAATCAAGCATTGATTGATCTGGCAGTCACCAGTTTACTTGGGAATCTTCAGATACAGGATTCATAGCCTTGGCTCATGTCATTATGTCAAATCAAAACCACTTTTAAACATTTCAATATATTAAACTGAAAATTAATATTGTAGCTTAAATGAACTGTTTGAAATACTTGGTTGTTCTCTTCACTATGTGCAGTTATTCCTCAGCCATGGCATGTGGAGAACGTGGCTCGTCTCTTGGTGCTGTGTGGTAGCAGTCTCTGCTACACTGTTCTGGTCAGCAAGGCCCTGAAAGGACGACTCCTTGAGATCTCCAGACTCATCGTCTACATCATACTGGTGAGAGTACTGGTTATTCTATCATCAGCTGTATCGAGTCTCATTAGGGTTTGTCAGGTATATTGGGTCATTATTGGCTTTTAATTTAGAAGCAGATATTGGCCAGCGTTGCCCTTTTCTGATTTGATACAATGCAGTTAGATTACATAGTTACTGTACAGTTTAAACAGATTAAACATAGATTCAGGATAGGTGTGCATCCAGGAATAGTTTGAGGCCGACTGTGAAATGAATCATCACTTACTGCTCTCCGTGGTCGTTGTGACTCATTTTGCAACGCCTGCTCATTTCTGAATATATCGAATTTTTATCTGCCTAAGTTTACCTAACTGTCATCTCTGGGCACTTGTGCTGTCCATGGTGCTGATTTTTATGAGTTCCTCTTTTACCTCCTCATAGGAGGTTCAATTCAAAGAGTATTGCTCTTCAAAAATTGCAAAGCAGGCTGGTTGATATCATAGACTGTAAATAAAGATGGATGTAGACTCTGTGACGTCACCCATATGTTTCTAGAGAGCGGTTTTGAAACTCAGAGTGGGCTGTGCCGTTGTCACCATCTTGGTGTTGCCTGACTCCGCCTAACTCCTGGCTAATCCCATAATGGGCAGAGAGGTGGGGGCATGTGTGGAGCCGAGATTTCGGTGCATGCTGGTTTGTGGCAAACATACACTCACCCACCAAAGTGCCCATACCCTCAACTATGCATAACTTTATACTTAAAATATAAATGGGTGAGTTATATAAAAAATCACCCCCGTACAGTTGTCTAGCTATAGAGACAAATCATTTTTTGTAGCAGGCTGTAAACATGTCTATTTCTGCTTTAAAGTTGTGTATTTTAACATGGCAGTCTATGGGGATTGACTCACTTTTGGAGCCAGCCCCTTCGAAGAATTTTTTTTGGGGGGGTTTGTTGGCTTGATTTTTCAGTCCCAGATGTTGCCACCTGGTTGATATCATCATGGAGAGGGGGTCTTCTCTCTATTAAAAATGTGTGTGATTGTTTCTCTCAACCTGATTTTATTACATGCTTCATTTCTCTGATTGAGAGTTTCTTGACAAATTAGACATGTTCATTCTGACTTACAGTCACAGTTAGCCATGTTAGTTAATTGTCAAAAAACAGACATATTTTTTATTAATTAAAAAATGAATAAAATTTGTGCTGTGAAAAAGGCCTATTTGTTCAGTTTTCAGTTTCGTATGGCTTCGCCCTCAGGTGTGTGAGAAGGACGGCTATCACATGAAGTGGGCGGTGAAGTTGGTACAACAGATCTGCAAGGTTTACAGCACGGCTCCTGAAAGGTTCTGCTTCATCCGAGAAGTGGAGAACATGTTTTCAGAAATCACCAGGGAGTTCTTTGAGTTTTCTGTAGCAGGTAAGTCGCAGCAGTTTTTTTTCAGACTATAAATTTTATTCAATAAAGTTCTTAGGTTTTGTCTTTAAACCCAAAATACATCCTTGACAATTGGATAATATGATAATATGAATCTGTGGGGACACTGGTTCTTTGCACCAAGTAATATAATACCACAATATTTGGACATCGCAATCATAACAGGATCTTAACGGTTAACATAAAACAATATAAATGGGGGTGGAGTGGATAAGATTTACAGATGGTGCGATGTACAATGATAAAATGAAAATATTACGTACTATGTATAGAGAGAAAATATTCTATATACTGTATGTCTGAGTTGTCATAGAGAAAATGATTTTCCCTGCAGTGTGGAGGAGCTTTTTAGAAAGTTTGTGTGTTGAAGGGTGGCTGTGTACGTGTATGTGTGTGTGTGTGTGACAGCTCAGACAGATGGCATTTACTTGGAACTCCTTATTTTTCTTTATTATATCAAAAATGCTTTCAGCTCAAGTGGATGTGTTTTATCTCAATCTTCCCACCTAGAGCAAACCTTCATTTGCCTCTGATTGCATCCATCCTTTTATTTCTTGCCCATGTAATGCCAATAAAATAAGTGGAGAGCCCCATTCATTGCATTGTTTAACTCAGTGCTAATATAATCAGTTTGTTTTAAGTGGGTTGTTGTCACAGTGAGTGACAATAGATTGGGAAATAGCATTAAAAAATTGTAGTTTATTGTAGAGTGAAGATGGAAGATGGAATTCCTATCACTACGCCCACATATTGAACATGTATTGTATTTATGAAATTTGTATTCTTTAGACCACTGATTCCCTTTTGGCTAGTGACCTTTCACAGCTAAACAATGCCTACTTGTGACCCTCACCACAGGTTACATGTGCCTCTGAGCTGTGAACAGTTGAACCACACAGAGAAATATTCCCTTCTCAATTTTTTTCTTTTTAACACTGTTTTAGTTTCTAGAGTCCTGGAGAGGCACATACTAAAATCTATATAAAAAGTCAATAACGCCATTATAATGCGTTCCAGGGAACCACCTTGAAGACAGCGAGACTTTCCAGACCCTGTGTATCCTCCTGGACTCCAGTGCTCGCTTCCACACTAAATTCCTCCACATGTTCCTGAAATAGGACTAATGCAGATTGAATGTGACAAGATATGGAGGAAAGGAGGAAGAGTCGGGGAAGAAATAAGCGCCGGTAATGAAAGGGAGTAACTAAAGAGTGAAAGAAATTGATGGACCTCTACAACAACAGTAAGACTTGAACATGGGAAGTGTTGTCATGGTAGCTTTGAAAGTTCAGGGAAGTCTGAGGATGAATTTGGTTGACAGTTCACTATATGCTATAAAAACATTTTATTTGCTGGTTGAAAATAGAGATGTTTAACTACTCTGACTAAACAGCATGGTTATTTATGCAAGTTTTATATTTCCCTCAAATATTGCTCCTCTTAAACCAGCTTGGATGTTATTTTTTTATAAAGAGTATTTAATATTTATTCATTAAAAGTAACAATTTTTATGTGACACTATTTATTTATTCACATTGAACCTCTCTGGGTAGTTGGCATTCAATATTTACATTGTTATTGAATAATTCATTAAATTGGTATTTTCAATTCTAATTTGTCTTCATTTACACATCTGTTTATATTTTTGTGGAACAGTGTGCACTCAGCAAACAGCAAGTTTTATCACCCTCCAGGTAGAAAAATGTTCAGCACTGACAGCATTTTCAAAAAAATAAAAAATAAAATTATTGGATGGAATTAGTAAAGCCTGCTTCATGGAATAAAAAATAAGCTGTTTCAGATAAAATTTTCTTAATAATAATGTGAAGAGAAGTGATATAAAGGATATTTAAAATTTAAAATAATTGTATTCAGACTGCATTCTCATTTGTCTTAGTGATGTGTTACACAGGTAAGTATCACTTGAGACTTAAACAGAGTGGTCATATAAGTTATACTATAAGCAGATTTTTCTTTTATTTTATTTTTTTAAAGAAACATGGCGTCAAATTCATAGCACGCACAGGAAGTACTAGTCTATTTGACATTGAAGTTTAAGGCCTACAACATCAAGTGTGATGAGTACTCCAAGATCCAGTTACCACTTCCACAGTGCATCCATGGTCACAGGCATTTCAGTCATTCATGTATTCATTGTTTTGATATGATCTGGCAGGAGAAAAAAAACAGAAGAATGCTGTTGTTTCTTCGTGTTTGGATACAGGTTGAGACAAAAAAAAAAACCTTACACTAAACATTAACTTTTCATGAATTGAAAAACAGATCTGATCTTAGTGGTCATAAAGCATTTTTGCAAAAAATAGTACGAGTTTGCAGCAAGAGCTTTACATTCAAACTGGACAAGTACTACAGTATATACCACACAAGAGCTCCATTTGGATGGGATTATTTTTTGTTGGGGAGGTTAAGTTTAATATTAGAATTATGTTTAATATTACTTAATTATTTTTTTCCCTTTAGTGTTACATATAGTCTTATGTTTCTGGGAAAGCTGAGATATAATCTACCACCATAATCACCTCACATTTACGGCACGATGATACTTACTGTGCAATTTGTTCTATAAGTGGGGAAAAAAAAGATACATCTTAATAAGGGTGGTAGACAGGATGCAGACAGCATTTGAACATTGATGTCAAAATTCTGTGCCCTCTTTTCTCTTTTGGCCTTAAGTGTGACAGTTTTATGAAACATACTAAAAAGACACATTACCTTGTAGCCAGTCCAACCCTTCCTGTAGGCCCTCTCCCTTGATAGCGTTGCTGGCACTGAAAAAATAAGATGTCAGGAGTTAATCTCTTTGTGGCACACACTCACTTTCTCATGACTTTTCTTGGATCTTGGATGTTTAAAGCTTTCTAGCTCTTAATCCAAATGCTTTCCATCTGTCTAATGAGTAAACAGGGAGGAAAACATGTATAGGAAGGAGCCTGGCTTTGGAATAACTACATGTCGCTGTGCCTCACAATAATGTTTAACCTATGAGCCATGAAAAAGACCCAGGAAGTAACCAGAGAGTAAACACACCAGGTCACCTTATTGTCTCTGTTTAAGACTCTAAGCTGTAAATCTGGAAGCACTAAACATTGTAGATGGGGAAGTGACAGGGCTTGGCTGAGTTCAGTTAATCTAATACACTTCCTTCAAAGCTGCCAAATACTTGAATGATTCCTGTAGCAAATTACTTAACAATGACTCTGGAGGTTGTTGACTTTCTCTGCCTTTCCTTAGAGACCCCTCACCAGGGTGAATATTTTGCACTAATGTGGTCACATGAATGCTACAGCAGGACTCGTACAACTGTACAGTAAAAGTGTGAAAACAGAAGAAATAAAGAGATAAACATTTGAGCTTTGAATTGAAAGTGTGCATCCAGAGAAATTTGACAGATATATTACCAGATGTGCCAGGGTTTGTCTTTGATGTTCTCCAAACACAACATCTGTGAGACCTTGACAGAGGACATGGCATCCCGCAGATCTATCTTGTTAGCAAAGAACAGTACTGGTATTCTTTTGCTGCGGATATCTGGATAATAAGACAGCAAGATAATAATAAGAAAATAATATTTTATTAATGCAGTTTATCCAATTAGAGAGTAATACTGATATTGGCATATACGGTCAACCTGTGACCATATATACAGAGTATTTAATACAATTTAATATTTTTTCCCTTTATTTCACAGATGGACAATTTGAACCCTGAAAAATGCCTAATGTTTTATAACAGTCCAATTTGATGCCATATATCTTTGTAAACCGAATCCTGCAGATATTGTAAACACGTCAGCCTGGATAAACTGTACCTTCATGGTTCAGAAGAGTATCCAGCTCCTCTTTGGCAACAACCATTCTCAGTTTGTCACCGCTGTCAATGACAAATATGATGGCATGGCTTTCTCTGAGGAGGATAAGAGAAGATGTTATAATTCACACATTCATACTAAACTAATACTGTGGCACTAATACAGGCATATTGTGTGTTTCATACTTGTAGTAATGCTCCCAGAGGTTTCTGTATCGGCTTTGCCCAGACATATCAAACACTGTGAAAGACAGGCTGCATACAGAGGGGGAGAGAGTGAGAGGAAGATCAGCTCAGAATGATACGTACTGCTGAGCTTGACATTTTTACTTTCATTCCTGTAAACTAGTACTAGCTAGTACTAACACTAATAAAAGCAAAAGACATTATAAAGGACTATAGGCGTCTACCTTGAACTCTTGAACTTTTCAATGTTGAAGCCAATTGTTGGGACTATTTCTTGTGCCTGCGTCTGCATGCACCCACCCACAAACACAAACATACAAAAACAGACAAGTAATGGCAAAAGTATGTCAACAAGGAAACACTATAAGGAAAGTATGATGTGGGCTTTACCTGACTAACATGTTTCCAGTCTTCTGAGAATGGGCCTAAATGATTCGAATGCTGAAAACAAGCAATCAATGAATGATTGCAGTGAAATGAAGGATTTTTTGACAGGCCTTCTCATAAGATTTATCTCAAATTATCATATGGCACGGGAAAAGATTTATATGTATAACAAATCGGTGTACCCACATGTCAGGACTACACACACAAAGGCGTCACAGTTCCACAATCATCGTTTTAACAAAACATTAAAATACACTCACAATGAAGCCCAGTGTCATGTACTTACATTAGTTGGCTTCAGTTGGTTGATGATGGTGGTTTTGCCGCTGTTGTCCAGTCCCAAACACAAAACATTAACCTCTTTCTTCCTCAGGCCGAGCCAGCCTGACAGTTTATCCAGCAGCCCCATTAGACTCAATTACCTCTACACCATTAAATTTTTAACACATCACCCCATAGATGGTCTGATTACTAGTAATTAAATACACTAGATTTACAAAATGTCATAAAAAGCAAACACTGATGACAAACATTGCCGTGAATAGTGTGTTACCACTTGCTGAGAATAGTGTCAAGATGCCGCCTGGGCATCCCAGCTTGTGACAGGTAATCCTATTAAGGCGAATTAAGCTTTGCGAACCACCCGGTGACCTGATCACGGCGCATGGAACTTACTAGTCCCCCACTATCCTGGTGCATTTGATTTATTACCCTAAAGCACCTACCCTCTCTGGTTCAATCCATCTGTTGCAGAGTGGTGTAGTAAATCTATAACAAATAAGAAACAACATGCTCAAATGCACGTACAAATGTCATGGCAAAACAAGAAACAGGCAACGGTCAAAATAAACTCATGCCAACTTATTAGAAGCCCTGGAAGTTGAACTAGAATGGGACATGTGTAGGAATTTCCTTGAATTTCTCTTCTAAGGTTAAATTGGCATAATAACTGCAGGAATTCAATTTGGGCTTTTCACATGGCAACTCTGGAGATGGACAATGGTCCAACAGCTCCATCTTTTGGTTATGAGTTACGTGTACAATTTTATAGAAGCTGCCAAGTTGAAAAAGGTGATGAAAGTTAAATAAACCTGACAATAATAACATCAAATTTAATTTTTACATCTTTGTGAAGGACTTATAAACATATGTACTATATTGGGCCAACTTTTTAAATAAAGATATATCTCCTGAGCGGACGTCTGCTAGGTGTCCGTCTTCAGTGAGGTGAGGTGAGATGGGGCCGTGGTTGCAGGCTGCATTGACTCTGTGTACAAGTAGGGAACACTCTGATCCAGTGATGTAGCGGTAAATGACATGTTGAGTGCAATGCAGGTGAAGTTTCTCCTTCATTTTACCACTAAAAACAAAAGCATTTCACAACCTCAAAGATATAAGACAGCGTTTCTTCCTTTGAATCAATGCTGTTTTGATTCTCTTTTCTTGCCCGAGATAAAAATCGAAACATAATTAAATGAGCAGTCAACCACCAGAACTGTTCATCTTTATTTGCAAATAAATATTCGCTGTAACTGCCTCTTACAGTGTGCAAGATCTACAACATCTCTTTGGAAATAATAGAAAAATAAAATACAAGAATTATAAGTAGACTTGTACTTTGTACAAAAGAATGTTCTAACATTGCTCAGCAGTAGAACATGCTAAACAAACAGCATCTGATATTCTCCATATCCTGTAGAGGGGTGGTGACCGTGAGCGTGTGTGTGTGTGCAAATATGTGTGCGGCGTGTTTTGATGTGTGTTGTGCACTTTTTCCTACTCCTGAAGGCCTGGATGCATAACTACGCTGTGACCGAAAGGCACAGATCTCTAGATCCAGTTTGCCTTTGACATGAATCATTGAGCCCCAGTTTGTGATGAAAGCCACAGCTGTAGAGGGGCGGCTGTTCTCTTCAGTATGGAATACAACTCAAACTAATGGCTAGGTCCCGTGACTGCACTGAAACTCATGAACTAAAGTGTTTCTGTCTTGCATGGTTAACAAACTGTAAGGCATTCAGTGTGTGCGTGTCTGTGTGAGTGTCTATGTGTTGTGTGTGTGGGTGCGTTTGTTACTGTTGATGTAAGAATGACACGAGTTATGATGCTGCTGTTAATGCTCATTCTTTCTCTTCCTTTAATCTCAGCTCCGTCCTAATCACACAAAAGCTTTCCTTTTCTCTCCCCTTTCCATCAATCTGGTTTTAGCTACTTCTGCTGCATCCGACTGCTAACTAGTTATATTCTGCAGAACTTCCTACTCACCACTGACTTAGAGAATGAAAAAAAATATTTCAATGGCAAACATCTGAATACTTGACATCATCTACTGCCGATCCAACAGTTTTCACTTCTATGCTTATGTACACTGATTTCCCGAACTGCCACAAATGCCACAACCTTTACATGACCACAAGGTAAGCACAGACTGGAGCAGAAGTAGTACTCTCTGAAATCCATCTGGTAGCTTCACACCTGAGATGGATTATTCTGCTCTGACATCTTAGATCAACTTCTTCCCAGAAGCGCAAACCACTGCCTGTATTAGTGTATGCAGGCTTAAAAGAAAGAATGAATGTATGTGAAAGGATTTCATCAATTTCTGAAAAACCATATAAGTCCATGTTAAGTTTCCAGACAATTGCAAACACCTCCTAGCTATACAGTATCTAAGATCTGTGAACATTCATATGTTTAGACAGTGGAGCTGTGTGTGTGTGTACTTTCAGGCAATGTTTAACATTCACAATCCAAAAAACTGCTGATCACACAACTGTGAGTACACTGGCTGCTAAAAACTGTCAGAATAGACTTGTATGGTTATTCACCTGAAGGCAACGGGTCCGGTTCTGCAAGCTTAGCATGTGACAATAAAAACAGGTGGATGGTGTTGTGTGAGCCTCATGTTTACATGTCAACAAGAGTTCTCTCATTGCACAATTCTTCATCTCTCTGAGATACTGAGGTGACTGCATAATACTGTATTGCTGACTTGGATAAAAATCTGAAATAAATAAAACATTTAAATAAGATCCAGATTTACTAGGGCTTTCACAAACAGGACTGCACATATATAGATATTAGGTTATGATAATAATTATCGATTAATTGTCTATACACTTTTAAACATTCAAGAAATCTCCATAACTTGCTTCTTGCTTCTTTCTTCAAGTATTAGCGTACGAGATTCTCTGGAGAGAGGGTAAACTAAAGCAATGCAAATAATTCCTTCATGATAAATTATTAAACTCCAAAACAAAAAATATTGAGGATATTTTTTTTTTTTCTTTTTTAAAGACAAAACGTTTCGATTGCACACCCGATAGCAGCTACATGAGCACATAACTCAGAGCGAGAAAAGAACAAACAAAAGAAGAGTCAAAAGATTCAGTAGATTATGTTTGCAAATCTACGTCTCTAGATATTGTTGCTCCACACACAAAGTACTGCTGCTGGAACAAGGCATTACATTCCCCTAAGTGAGGCCATGGCCAGTCTGTAAAGTCTATCAGGCTGTAATAGTCTGGCAGAACCAGGTATACTGGGTAAGGGGTGTATAGTAGAAAAAAGTCTGTTACTACTGGATGTGAGGGAGACCACAGGGCAGTCTGCTGTGGTCGTCTGTCCAATGACCTCCTGTATGAGGGGTTAAGACTCAGGCACAGGCTGCAGACTGTCTGTCCTACAGTCTAGACTTCACTTTCGTCTGCTCCATCTATCTGTCCATCCCAGGTTGTATCAATGGGCGTCCTCATACATGGAAACCTTTCTCCTGTTCGTGCAGTAGCTGAAGGCGAAGGGTCTGTAAGCTGCTGATGATCCGCCTCTGGTGGCCGATCAGCTCCACCCCAATACGCCTCACATCTCTAGGGCGAGAGGGGAAACACAAAAACGCACAAACACACACACGCACCACTTTAACTTTGAACTTGTGAAGTCTTTTCTACAAACACTTTTTTAGAGACCTTCTGAGTCATTTCCCTTTTCTAGTACTTCTCTCATTTTTCTATGTGAAAACATTTTATGTATGTAAGACCACTGAGTTTATTTGAGACACATTTCATTTGCAATGTGAAATCTTTATACTACAACCCCTAAACTCTAACTATCAACCAATCAACAAGGGAAGCAAAATCTCAAACACCTGAAAAAAATCATCTCAGTTTTTATTTTAAAATGGCTCATTCTGCACCGTCAATGTAATCTTTTTTATTACTAGTCCACCGATTCTGACATATATTGTTTGTCCACCTTATCGATAAGGTAATTATCTCTTTAAGTGTAGGTATTTGGCTTCCCTTTTTCGATTCAAGTCTTCGATTCAGACTTTTAGCTCAACAAACCCATAATGCAACTTCATAACATCTTTCATTAGACCCTTGCTATCTGACAAATGGCTCCATCTTTCAATCTCCATAGTTGAAGTCTGAAACACAAGCTTTTTGTTAAAAGTCTCTGATGACATCACAATGACTTTGTCCGGGTTATTTTCTCAGACAGGATGTCCACAGGCTGAACAATGCTCCTCTTAATGAGTAATCTGAACTCCATGAGTAAAATCGGTGAAGCACTGTTGCTACAAAGATAGCTATTATTTGGTTTCTGGACATTTGATAATGGTTATGTTTAGGTTTATCTACTCACTCAATACTCATCCTGGCAACCGAATCCAATGTGTTGTAGCCTGCTGCCATGAAATTGCTCTTGTACTGACTCATCTTGATGGAGTCCAGCCAGTCACCGACGGAGATGAACATTGGGTAGTCCATTTCCTCCCCCGGAGACTCTGGTAGACTGATGCAAAAAAAAAAAAAAATAAAAAATAAATAAATAAATAAACCCATACAATACAGATCCTGTCTGTAAAGCATTTCAGAGTTGGAAAACTGGCCCAAACTTCTCAGAGTGACACATATTTGGTGCTACTTTTAGGCGTAGGAGTGAAAGCATTTCTCAACTTTCTCACCCAAGGAAAGTCACACTATCTCTGCTTGGATTCAGCAGACATGTCCCTGTTATAGCTCAGTGTTTATTGTAACTCTAATAACTCTCAAGTTCTGTTCTGAGGTAAACGTGCTCCAAGAGATTCTTGACAAATTAGACAAATACAGTTTCATGCCTTAAGAGATACCATAAAATCCTCAGTGCTGTACCTCTGAATGTCCTCTACCAGTGGCAGCAGGCTGCTGGGGTTGCGGATCAGTTTATCCAAGAAGGAGACAACATCTGTGAATTTGGGCCGATGACTCCTCTCCTTCTGCCAGCAGTGCAGCATCAGTTGGTGCAGTGCCACGGGGCAGCCCATCGGTGCAGGCAGCCGGTAGCCCTCTTCAATGGACAGAATCACCTGGAGAAACAATTGGATGCGATGGAGGGTGAAAAATTTGAGTAAAATTTTAATTAGCTTAGATATTGATCTATTTGGCTCAAGAGTCTGCTGAGTGTCATAACCAGTTTGCTAATGGCCACTTTAAAAAACTGTTTGTCTATGATCTTGCAGGTGTCTATACGATTGTTTGGCATTATATGGATTTGCATGTTAGCATGCTAACTAATAATACTACTATCAGAAGAATGACAAGGATATCTTGGGTATATTTAAGTCACATTAATAAAAGCAAAGATCATTAACTTGATCCCACATCATGAATCAGAGAAATAACTGATGAAGAGAAGAGAGCAAAAAGAATCAAAATGGGAAGTATAATCCCATTTAATGCTTTTTATAAGCTTCAATCATTCCCCATGACCTTCTCTTTGGATGTTTGATTTCTTGTGTCACACAAATAAGTTGTAGTTGTGCTAAAAAAAACCTCCTCTGGACTATCCATCAGTTTCCAAACGTACAGTATGCAAGCATGAACTGCTTTTTCATCTGAGCTGATAGTATGTATTAGCCTCCATACAGCACATCTCCAATCATACCTGTGGTTCCATGAGATCCATGTATCTTTGTAGGGAGCAGTGGTAAGTGGCTGACCAGGATGAGATAGTGTTAGGCTGGTTTTGCAGCTTGGCTGGCCTTTTGCCTTGGAAAGAACTTCTAAGCAATTCCCAAATCCTCCAAAACCCTCAGACCTTAGTGAATGTGTTCGTGTGGGCGTCTGTGTATGGATGTGTATGAGTCTGTGTGTAAGGGGTTGAAGGGATTACGGTGGAGCTTTCACACTCAGCGGAGAGAGGGATGGATCTGCTTCCTCCATGGCCCCTCCAATCCCTGACCACAGCCCAGGGATCAGCGGGTTGCTCAGCCACACTGAATCCAGCTTTAAACCCCCCCCATCCCTCTGCTGGACCAAAGTCCTCTGAACCTCTGACCTTTACTGTTCCCTCTCCCTCATCTTTTTCATCCTCTTGGTGAATCTGACCAGAGTTTAGGTTCCAAACCTCCTCTCTCTCAGAGGTGGCTTTTTGATGCCAGAAAACAGTCAGGGAGCAGGTTAAAGGGCAATAGTTTTAATAGACAGAATAGAAAATAATAAATAAAAAAAAAAAATATATACAGCATGGAGAATGAGAATGAGGGTAGAGAAGGCTTGTGGGGGGAACACTCACTAAGATGCCGACCTCGTCAAAAGACCAGCAGCTTTTCCATATTCACTTCACACCAAGTCAGTGAATTAATGCAGCTGTGTGAAACAACTTAGTCAGGAACTGTTTCATTATATTTCCAAACAGGCAAAAAAAATTAACATCAAAAGTAGATGATTGCATCAAAAATCCAAATAATGTCCAATGTTTTAACCAATTTCTGCTAATTTTTCTCACTGATAATCCTTTGATCTACAATATTGTTAAGTCGCCTTACAGTAGCATTGCAGTACCTTCAAAAGTGGTGGTAGTTTGGCGAGTGGCTTGTTAAAAAGGCCTCAGTGTTGGATGTGATGTAATTGCATATAAAGTCAATGGAAAGAGGTGATCAGGTGTGAATAGATGCATGTTTGCTCAGGTAACGCTCAATGTGGGTTGAAAATGTTTCAGCCTAATCAGGTAAACATTTTGACCTCAGCATTTCTAAAACCCTGATCACAGTACTGTGTAGCATCCTCTCATAAACAGGACAAACCATGATTCCAGATACATTTTACCTGTGCTGATGTTAACTTATTTCTTTTCATTTTTTAACTGAAATCTGTTCATTACTCAGTGTTTTATGTCAATAAAGTTACATTTAAAAGAATTTGAGAACTTACAAACGCAGTTGGTAGAATCAGTTGTTGTGATTTTTGTAATTCTAAAGAACATTTTCACATTCTGGTTTTTTGCTGAAGGATGAGGTGGCTCTTTCTCATACGACATGACTGCAGCATAAACCACGCTCATGATGACCACAATACTCACGTCCTGATTGGACATCTCCCAATATGGCCGTTCCCCATATGACATCACTTCCCACATAACAATGCCATAACTCCATGCGTCACTGGCTGAGGAGAATTTCCTGTATGAGATGGCCTCAGGTGCCGTCCATCGGATTGGGATCTTACCGCCCTGTTCACACACATACAGTATAAAATGAAGACGTATGCACTCATGGATGGACTCACATAGGCATTCCATGCATGCCCTATTGACCTATCAGTAAACTAAGCTAATGATAAAGATGTTGTTTTGTTACAAAAATGGAGGACAATAGCGAGCAGAGGCGTCCTGAGCAGACAGTCATGACACCAAAACATCTGAGAAGCAGCATGTGTAAAGGTACAGTCTCGTCAATTGACAAAAATAATGACGTGTTGTGGTGTTTTGGTGCGCATTCGATTCATTCGAATTAATTGCGAGTCACTTCGAATTTGTTCGATTTACGTTTTTTTGAAAATGTGACAGCCCTACCATGAGAAGATATATTTGTGGTTTAAAGAACCGAAAACCATCTCGATGTAGTTTTACATCTCCTCTCTTAGGCCTCTCTCTGGAGCTCTAGTAACAACAGGTTGATGAGCCAAAGTTCCAGAAGTCCTGACGGCTCATTTGAAGGCAGTTTCTGAATTGTGTGCGTGTTTCTCTGTGAACTGAGCGCTTTGATACTTTCACAGTAGTAATATAACACGTAGGCCTGCTTTATAACCAAAAAAGACATGGAAATATTACTTTATACAATATGGGACCTTTAAAAATACAGCTGTGCTTAGTGACATACACTGTTTAAAATGTTTATTAGGTGAAAGTGTGATCAAGTGCATGTAGAGCCATTTGTGCCCCCCTATTCTGAATCCCGACTTCCTCACCACACCTCACATCACCATTCACTTCCCTTCTGTGGATTTCGACAGTCTTGTCTTGTGGAGCAGAAAGTTTAACTTGGAACCATAAACAGCATTTCCTTCACACAATAACCTCAATAGAAAACCAGGAAATGGAGGTCACTGTGGGCTCAGACAGATTTACAGAGCAGTGTCCTTTCAGCACAAAACATTTTGAAGTTGAGCTTTTGCTATATAAAGGCAACTCTTTCACTTTCACTGGCCCCGGGAGAGAAATTTCATCAGTCTAATCAAGAAGGGGTAGAGCAATGCATCAGTTAGCTGATGTGTCAAGCTTACATAGGAGTATAGAGCATCAGGTTGTGAACACAATCTTTGATGTTTGTCCTTCAGTGGAAAATGTTAGTGACCAATATTTCTAATGTTTTTCCAAAGACCTTCCATACTGAAGTCCATTTGAGTCCTATCTCCACCTTGTGCATACCGTGGACCTAGTTAATGCAACAGATATGACTTCTTTATGATATTGTAACATAGAGAGCACCAGCAAATGGAATTGTTGTTTGCAACTGTACCCCTGCGCCTTTCATAGTTCGACACTTCTACCATTACTTCTAATGAGGTTCTCTCTCAAACGCAGGAACAGACCAGGCATCAGCCAACTGGTAGCAAATGAGACTGAACTAGGAAAAACACATATCCTTGATATTACTGCTATAGCGCTGTAGAATAAAGGTGAAATATGTAAAGCTTTAGAAAGAAGTAAATATGTGCATCCAGATTTCCTGACTGGTCAATGACATTTCATTCTAAATACACAGACCCAGCTGTGCAGTTAGCTTGGCACTACAGCCTGAGCGATACGTTGGTGGGGTGATCTTATCAGCACATTTAAGCTAGATGCAAATAAATTTGTATTCATGTTTATAATGGCTGATAAGTGCCAAGAAGTTGTTGCTACTGCACAGTTTGACCACCAGAGAGACGAAGCTCAGCTCAGTCAGTGTTTGTGTGAGCGGTGTGCGCTTCAGCCTATTGAAAAACATGATTTTGCGTCTATTTGTGAAACAGTCAATAAGACAGTTCTGGTGAATAAATGGATAACAATGACATATAATTTTCTCCCTCTCAGTATAGCTCTAACATCCGCTATAAAACACACACTTGGTAAATTAGTTAGCCACAACGCTAGCTAATGCCATGGCTTGTCAGTGGGGGATTGATTTTCACAAGATACAATATCTTTTGTCTCAGACGTTTATAGCTGAGACACAGAGACTTTTCAGAATTAAAAGATAAATCACTAGGCTACCTCTGACAAAAGATTCAAAACAGCTGCCTTGCCATAAACATGTGCACATTCAAGTAAATGACGGTGAAAGCTGATCCACACACTCCTCACGCCCCCTTCAATAACTAAATGCAAGGGAACCCTATCTAAAATCTTTATGTCATGTGTTTCTGTTAGAAAAATTAATGTCGGCCAATGTATCATCATCAGATTTTTACAACTATGAAACATCGAAATCTGCAAGTGTGACACCAGATACATCACCTTTTTTTAATGCAATTTGAAAGTTGAGGAAAGCCGGTTTCATCTTTAGGAAATCTTCTTTAGCTTTAGACCCCTTCAGATGCCTTTTGAAGTGACTGAACTAATGAACTTTCCTGTCATTAAACACAAATGACACCCCAAATAAAAGTAATAGCAACATCTCAAAGCAATTTCCAAAACTAAGAGGTAAGAGGTATATGTGTTCATTCTCAGATGTTAGTGCTGTTAGTTAGTGCGAAACCTGTTTTGAAGAAGGAGCTCAGATATGATTTTCAGTGGACTATAGCCATATTTCATCAGAGGTTTTTGAATACAACAACTGAACAAATTTTAGGTTCAGGAACATTCCTACATTACACCTCTGATCCCATAAAGCAAAAGGTTTTCAGAAGAGTTCTGAGCAGAGAAATTAAGACTTGAATCAAGAAGCCACTGTTGTGTGAAGGGGTTTTTGAGTAAATGTACCACTGAAGTACAACATATGAATAATTAACAATTTTAGTTTAAGGAGGGTCGTTTACCGTTGTGGTGTAAGCAGCCTCCGGGTCGTCCTCCAGCACTCGCGACAGGCCGAAGTCTGACACTTTACACACCAAGTTGCTGTTGACCAGGATGTTTCGAGCCGCCAGGTCTCGGTGAACGTAGCCCATGTCTGACAGGTACTTCATGCCCGAGGCGATGCCACGCAGCATGCCCACCAGCTGGATGACAGTGAAGTGACCATCATGTTGCTGACAGGGAGAGCAGGACATAGAGGAAAATTTACTGGTAGAGAAGGAGCCATTGCACAAAACCAGTCGGACAATCAGAGAGAAAGGTGGAGAAATTGAATAAGACAAAGGAACAACACAGACAAAAATCATAATGATATGTGTGTAGCAACAGACACATATGTTGTAAAATATTTCAGTTTTAGTTATGTTTCAGCAGTTTATTGACAGGACAATGTGCTGCAGTAAATATGCTCCAAAAGTTAGTTACTTGCAAAACAAAGTTAAGCTGCTTGTTTTTCTTATGATTTTTACAAAAAGTTTTCTCTCCATGGCCTGCAGCTAAGCGCAGTGTTGTTTAGCCAAGGCCAGAGACTGAGAGTGATCTTGCTATCTTCCTGGATGGCCCTATAATGACGGCCTTATAATGACCTGACTAGCAACGACGTGTTTTTTTCTGCAGACCAAAGCAAAGGCACTCATGTGTTATGCTTTTGTCTTTTTATATCAGCAATGTTGTGCTGTGTTTATTTCCCACAAAAACAATATCTGAGGCCTGAAATAACCATAATCATTCCTGAGTTCTTTGATCACTTCAACACTCACCCTCAGAAATGAGTCCAATGATCCATTTTCCACATATTCCACCACAATCATCACAGGTCTGCCTGCAAACAGACAAACACAGCAAAGCACACTCTGTATTTTTGCAAAGATTATTTTCTTTCTATTCACTGTACTGCATCTATTATGGATTTCTTTTGCTGTTAAAGACAGTCTACAGTAAAGGGTGAAAGACAAGAGAGAAGAAAGGACTGGAACACAACACTTACAACACAATAATCAGTTTGTATTTTTTCCAATGCCTAATTATTTGCCAGATCATTTCAGTATTTGTGACCAAGAAGTGGAAACACAGAGACACAAAACCCAGCCAATCTGCTTCTCAGAGGAGTCCACTGCTTTTCTGTTTACAGGGGCTTGCCCAATGGTTAGTGCTCCCTGTGTGCGTTGTGTGTACAAACTATAACACATGATAACACATCATCTACCTGAGCTCATAAGCCAGTATCCGGATCTTTGTACTTTGGTTACTACAGTTTCTGCAGGTAAATATCCTTGGTTGATACTCCCCTTAGGTAGTGGTTTGTGTCAATATTCAATATATTCAAACTTAAACTAAAATGTGCACCACTACATGTCATTGAAAACTCTAAACAAAACAATAAATAAATAACTATTAGTGTAACATTATATCATCAAAACAACTGGTGATATTGTAACATTCATGATTACAAGTGTGGGCAATCCAATAACATCCCTAAGAACAAGCTCAGTTGTTGCTTACACAGACTGACTAAGTATCACACAACAACATCCAGCAACACTGATTACAGAATGGTGAGCAAGATAAATAACAACGTGTAGTTCGAAAAATCTATTGGCTTAGGATCACTGGCCCTAAATGATTGACTGACAGACCACAAGATAATGTTTGGAGTCATGCAGGTGATGGATTAGGTTCTGGTAAACACTGGCGAGCAAAATCACACAGTACAAACTGTGAGCTCAACAAGTCCAACAAGAAGGAGAAGGCAGGGGTGTTTGTGTGTATGTGGGTGTGTGTTTAGCACAGCTGCCAGAGAGAGAGAGAGCGAGAGAGAGAGAGAGAGAGAAAGAGAGAGAGAGAGGAGACAAACCATCAACAGTTGATTGGTGCATCAAGTGAAGATACTGAATTCACACTCATTTTTTTCCATCACAACATGTTCAACCTGCAAATGGGACCTATTTTGCATTCAGTCCGTCTATAACATAAAACATTCATTAGACACAGATGCAGGCACACTTTCTCTTTCCAAATGTTATTGTTTCCCCACAGAGGATCCCTGTGGTGATACAGATTGACTGGTTTACAGCTGGGAGGCAGTCGTCCAGCCCTGTGTGCTGGTGAGCTGTAAAATGCCCTGAACTGCTGGAAAGAGAAATAAAAGTGTTACTGTGGTGAAGTAACACCATGGTATCACATTTCCAATTCAAGTCGTCTTTTGTCACTCAAAGGGGTATGTGAAAAATCACATTATGAAAGGTGGAGTACACAGAGATAAAAGCGTCCCTTTAATACATCTGAAAAGGTGCAGGGTGTTTTCAGTTTCACAATACAAGAGCACACTGTGTAATATTGCCACTTTAGAGAGTTAAGGCATTTGATTCTAATTTCCTGGGTTTCGACAATTAGATAGAAGTATAGACAGCACAGGAATTGTGCACCTGCTCTACATCATTGCCTTATTTGATAAAATTAAAGGAAAATCAGACACAAGGAGATAATTTACTGCCTGTGTCGTAACACAAAAAATCTAAATGACATCTGTCACCACTGCTTGACACCCTCACAAATATTTTCGATAACTGATACAACAGGTAATAACAACCACAACGTTAGTGATTATTTAAGTGACTACAACATAAACAGAAAGACAGGAGAGTGTATCCAAGTTGGGGAAGTTGTCGAAATGTACATTCTCAAAAACAACGAACTTATCTTCTTTCCCTCATATTCTTCACCAGCTATGTGTAGTAGTAATAATACCATACCATGCCTGAGCTCAAAAACCACACAAGGGTGACATCTATGCTTAAAGCAGCATGTTTCATTTTACAAGAGGAGGTCTGTAAGGATGAGAACTGAGTGGATGGTTTGGCAAATGCACATTGGAGTTTATTTCCCTTCCACATTTGATAAGAACAGCTCAAGGCCACTTTTTGAAGCTTTTCACTGGGAAGCATCTGGAACTGTCAAAAAATGCAACATAATTAAAAAAAAAAAACAGATGGTGCAAACTACTTTGACACCAAAATTTCATTGTTCCAGTGGATTGTCAATGACACATCCCCGACTGCACCTTCCAGCGTGGTTCAAAACAAATGCTAAACAGGCGCAGGTTAAAACACTGCTCCTCAAGAAAATGAACACCTGTTAGGCTGTAATTATAAAGGTATTTTATAATTTAATTTTTAAATGTTTTTAAATGTTAGGAATGGCCATTTTCTACATGATGAGCAATGGGGAAAAAATGCTGTATACTGGGGCATTTATATCAGCTTAAAATCAACACACCTTCAGAAAAACTCAGAAATATTGAGTGTCTCAACAGAAAAGAAGACACAGTCGGTATATGAATAAATGGATGAGCAGACCATTCAGTCTGTACTGAAGTGTATCACTTTTTCAGTCCAAACGGACACATTATGTTGTTGCTGTTGATGTTTTTTTTCCCCAGCAAAATCTTATCATAATATCTTTAAATTCGCAGATACTGTCTCTGCACACAAATCCAGCAGGGACAGACAGGAAATTATTTGATCAAGCTTGGCTTTCCTGAGCTAATTAGCAAGGTCTGGAAACAATATATAGTTATGCAGTGCAGCGCCTGAACAAAAACAAACGCACCTGTTTACCAGAGTCTAATGTGTCACCTGTTATTTCAGTGCAGGTATAGCAGTCAGTCACAGCATAATACTCTCCATAATTAGTCTCTGAAGAACAACAACAGATGGAGGGAGAGGAAGATGGAGAGAGTGAGAGAAAGACAAACAGACAGGCAGGCGGACAGAGAGAGGGTACTCAGAATTAATGTCTTTCGATAAAGGATGCCCCACTGCCAAGCAAATGGCTTTCGATTGTGTGATTTGGTGTGTATAGTGTATTGTATGTGTGTGTACAGAATAGGCAAGCATGGTTGGAAAATGGTTTCCTCTCTTTTAAACACAGATAACTAAAACCTGGTAATCCAGGCCATTTCTTATTCAACATATTACATTCAATTAATTTTACTGAATATCTTTCATATTTTTAATGTTTCATGTGATATTAAATGGTGACAACAACAACGCTCCAAATTAAAATATTAGTATAATATTAATAAATATATAATAAGGAGGATTCTTCCTAAATCACAGTATTATGGCTCTGTATGTTCTGGCACTTACAGTACTATATGGATAATACAGTTATGAAAAAAATATACTAAAATTTATATAATTTATATCTATTTACCATGCTCAAGTCACACTTACATAAATAATATCACAGGAGATTTCCAAAAACATAAAAAAAAAGAAAAATTCTCACCTTAAAGTCCACTTAGTATTTTTTTTTGGAGGTTTAAAGGAGCTACTTTTAAACTTTGCTATTGCTACATAGCTAACATTAGCACTAACACTTACCAGTGAATCATTCCTTTACTGACCAAGAACTATCTCCACCAGTAGAACGCAAAGTCAATGTTTAGCCTTGTTTCGCCTCTACTTCAATGACTTCTCTTAGTCAGTCAAGTTAGCATGCTAACCATCTGGCTCTGGTCTGGCTGGATGTCTCCTTACTTTCCGATACCGTGTCACTGTAGTATCCCATCTGCACTGAAGAAGGAGTGCTGCTCAGAGGACATATCATAACCTCTTGTCTTGTAAATGCAACAATGGCTGAAGCTCTTGAAAAGACTGGTAACAGCTGTAAGTAAAACAGCTGTTAAAGCTAATGCTAGCTATGTAGCAATAGCAAATAGCCAATAGCAATAGCTCCTTTAAACCACATGAAACCAAACCAAAACTATGAGAAAAAGGAGCTTTTAGATGGACTTTTTTGTATATAATTTTGTTTTGTCCCTTTTGGAAATACTTAAAATATTTTTATTTCATTGTCCCTGTTTATGTGTGTGTATTTTATTACTATTAGTTATTTTATTTTGTATGTATTGTCCATATCCTCTCTTCTTTGTATCTTAATATCTTATTGTTTCTTCCATTTTCAAGTTTCACACTTTTAATAAGTTGAAATGAAAAATGTTTTGAATAATAAAGTATTAAAGGAAAATACTCTCTTCTATTTATAACAGAAAAAAACTATTCATGCGTATATAAGGTAATTATTTTCATCAGATTAAATTGATTTAATAGAACATACAAAGAAGGGCGAGATACAATATTTTCAAGTGATGTCAATAGCTCTGTCATTCAGAAATAACAGACCTTTAAATGTCTATTCAGTGCAGCCAGTCGAGTCACAATGTTCACATTCTTTTACCACCAGAGGTCTTTACAGACAAATCTCAGTATTGTGTGGGGAGTTTTTTTTTACTCAACTGTTACAGAGATGGTAGACTATAAAGCTGCAGTTAAACCTATCAGTGGAAAATAGCTGCAATCAGCACATGTAATGATACAATAATGGCAGTATCTGCCTTTAAAAACCCTTATCAGCTGAATCCTTGTTAGTGGGGTCAGAGCTGAGGAGTGTCCTCTATCTACATTCAGGGAGGGGTGGAAAGTCTTCAGGGGACACATTTATATTCACAGCGATGTCTCAGTTTTTACACCCCCTGTAAAAACAACCATATGTTGCGCTGGGTGAGCCCCGTAAAACAGAGCTCGTTAACAAGTTCACACTCACACACAAACAAACAAACACACACACACACACACACTCATACACTCACTCACCTTGTGCAGGTAATGCGTATTCCTGCACAAAAACAGGGCATTTGAACTTAAACAAACATGCATGCTGGCCACTTACACACAATATAAACACACATATGCGTACACACATACACACACACACACACACACACACACACACACACACACACACACACACACACACACACACACAATGTTTACGTAACACAATTATTTTAATGGAGTCCTACATGGGAAAATGCAAGACACATATGACAGGAATATACAGAAAAAGCAGTAGAGTTGCTTTGACAGGCAGTGTAGTTATGGTACACAAGTTAATTCACACTCAGATTTGGCAGAGACTGCACGAAAATGTTAAGAAGTGACAGCGGCTGTTCTTGATGTTAATAACAGAACTATGGGGAAAAATATTTTGTATTTAGCACTCACTTGAGTCGTGATGAATAGGTTTGTCTGGCTGTATCAGCACAGCTTTAGAGCTACATCTCTAAATACTTGTTCATCATCAGCACCAATAATTGCCACATGCATTTCATGTACTAAAAGGTCAAATAAATGAAAAAATGACCTTGTCAAGTCAGTTAAGCCACATCTCCCATAGTCCCTCTTACTTTTGGTGACCACGCCTTCCAACCTGATGATGTTGGGGTGGTCAAACTGGCCCATGATTGATGCCTCACGCAAGAAGTCCCGCCTCTGACGCTCCACATAGCCTCCCTTCAGTGTCTTTATCGCCACGGCAATCTCCTTCTTCCCCGGTGTTCTCAGGCGACCACTGCACACCTCACCAAACTCCCCTGGAGTGTACACACACACACACACACACACACACACACACAGACACACACACACACACACAGACACACACACACACACACAGACACACACACACACACACACACACACACAGTCAATCACAAAACTCCACACCATCACCATGTGACAGCACAGTATGCCACCTGGGGGCAGTGTTGTAGTTCTCATCTAAAATCCAGCATTATTGCCTCTTTCTGATTGGTCTAACTCAATAAAACTCTCCATTTCACCTTCTAAAAAAAGCACAGAATCTATTCTTACACTTTCTTTTGTTCTCTAAAGCTGTTAAAGCTTTAATATTCCTGCAGTCTGTGCAGAGAAAATGACAGTGAGACACTGGGAAATGGAAAAATGCGTCCTCTTTAGTGTGTACAATGGAGTAGAGGGGGGTTCACAGCAATTATATGAGTGGAATGAAAATAGACCATCTCTTATGGCACATTTGAAGTTATTGTTATTCTAACCAACATGAAAGGATCCTCTTCTACCCACAGGTGAATGGCACGAATCAGTGAGACATAAGTGGATGAGAAAGTAACTGTGTGTGCAGGCCTGAGTGTGTGTGTATACCGGCTCCGATCACCCTCTCGATGCGGATCCTGGATGGGTCGATCTCCTTGGTGAACTCGTGGACGGCCTGAGTGGGGTCCTCATATGTATCAGGGTCTACATAGGTCTTTATTCCTGGGAAAGGGACTGTGAACATAGAGAGAGAAAATTAGTTTAACTCAGATGATGATTTTTTTAGACTCACATCAATTTTAAATTCACATTAAAACAATATATGAAACATTTTACTGCTACTGCCAAAAAAACTTTTACTGCTTCTACTGTTACGATGTATTTCTATTACAGCTACTGCTGTTGCCATAATACTGCCCAACCAGGGGTACTTGAACCCCAAGAGGCAATTCTGACATTTACAGGGGTGTATACGGAAAGATCGTAGAATTCATGATGTTATTAAAAAAGACCCATGACATATTTTGATTTATAAGGAACACATTGGATTACAAATCTGCAAATCTGAGGCTAATCTTTAGTATATTTAGTCACAATAAACATTAAACTACCAGCTACGATAAGCCAACTTCACAGGACACACCTCCTACACACCTAATTATGCTGTACCACCTTAGCAAGTTGTGTTGTTATTGAGAGGGCATGAAAACAAGTAATTGAGCGAGCAGAGAAGTCAGTTTCTGAACAATTTCAACCTCTATATAATTAATGGTGTTACATAACATCCAGTTTAAAATAAATGATCATATTTGGAACATAATGGGCGACAGTGAAGAGGTACTTGAGCTCATCTAAGAGGACTGTGGGGACACATCAGATAAAAAAACATTTGGGACTATAAAACTCTCCCCCCAAAAACATGAAGAAAAAAAACTGTGGTCCTTAGATGTTTACAGCTGAAAAACTATTTAATGCGTTTCTTCTCATATTGTTTTTTTTTTTTTTTTCTATTGTATGAACAGTGGGTCACGGGACATTACATAAAACAATACAAAGTGATGTGATCACCCTTTAGACCGCAGTGAGCAAGTGTTACCCCACTCTGAGACTCACACACATACACCAACAGACACACTACTAGCCCCCCCCCGTCTTTTGCTGCAAAAGCAAAGCCAGACTTTTAAGCGGGGACCCCCCTTTTAGCCCCTTCTACAGCAAGCCTCCACCTGCTGAAGTGTCTATGAGCAAGTCTGTGGGTCTTTAACAGGCTGCTGCTGATCCTGTGCTGACACCTGACCTCCCAGTGGGGGTGGGGGTGGGGTTAGACAGAAGCTGTGTTTCTATTTCAGGGATCGATGCGGTATAGAAAACAACAATCAGTTCTCTCTGATGCATGAACCAGCACCAGCGAAACCCAGAGGACCCTGTTCTCCTCTCAAAGCTTCTGCTCAACACCACACTCAGCGCTGAGATGTGCGACAGGGCACAGGAGGCAGGGCGGTTTTCAACACCAATACTTTAAGGTTAAACATGCACACTCATTTATAATGTGCATGTTTCCGTATCTTAAATTCCAGCGAACTATGTGGCAGCTTGTAAGCTACTTCCAAAAGCGGATTCTCTTACCGTCTCCTATGTGTTTCTGACTCTCTAGCCTCGATCCAACTGTCCTCTTAAAACATACCTCATTTCTCATTGTCCTGCTCTCTCTTCCTCTGCCTCTCTACCTGGTTTCCCTCATCCTCATTTCTCTTTCCTTTCTGTTTCTTTTCCATTGCCTCGCCTCAACGTTCGTCGTTCCACACACTTTTTTTTATTTTTTTCACCTAACAGCTCTCATTTGAATTTGTTTTTCCATGTCAGGAATGAGAAGTTGGGTATTACGAGACAAAACAACAGGCAAAAGAGACAAAAAATTTACAAGAGTGCAAAAGCAAACAGCTCAGGGAACAAGAAAAAAACAAGCAAACAAAAAACAAAAAAAAAACTCCCAAAAAACTACTCATGTAGAACGGAAGGAGCGGTAGACAGAAAGATGAAGAAGCATGGCAGTTTACAGAATTTTACTCTGTTGATTTCTCTGTGACTTCTTTTCTCACTAGCAAGTCAATATATTTGCATTCTGTAAAAGCTTGTGGCGGGGTTTGTCATTCCTGTGCAGAACTCAAATATGCATAGGCACAGAAACACATGGGAAATGATTCGTACAGCACACTACGTTGAATGCAAACAGAAAAGCAGGTGGCTATCCTGTTAGCTGCTAACTGTGGCTAACAGAATCGCTCTCTTCTCGTCTCGGCCTTGTTTACTGGCAAAAACAAACCACAGAAAAGAAAACCTGGCACGTTCTCGACAAATGGTTCGGCGTTCTGGCAAAAGTAATGTTCAACACTAATGTTATGTAGTGTTCCAAACAGATTTGAAATTCCATTAAAATTAGACTGAACAGACTTCCCCAACCATCATTATCATAAATATGGAAATTGATTATCCTTGACTCAATCTTTTTGCAACGCGAAACTTGTGAAAATACCAAAACCATTGAGAGAAAATCTAAACAAAACACCCAGAACAATAGAGAAAAGAGAGGGAGACTAATCTGACTCACCATGTCCATTCTGATAACTGGTCCTTCTTTTCTCCTCCGAGGTCATCTTGGCCTTGAAGTACCACTGACACCTGCAAAACAAATGACAGAGTTAAAAAACATGCAGTAATATTGCCTGGAATTACGGTTTCTACAGAAAGGCAGGTGTGTGTGTGCATGCATGTGTGTCATAGGTTTTTGCAGTTAAAGGTGAAAATAAAAGATGTGTCAGGAGAACTTATAGCGACTTATATTTGTGTTTCTTTTGACACTTTTGCACATACCTATTTGCAGATTATATGTGCCGTTTTAACAAACTCACACTCAAAAAGTGCTGGTTTGACGCTTGAATAGTGGCACCCGGAGCTTAAATGAACTGACTCAAAGGTTCATATATGTGGTGCCACGGGGAGTTTCTGAGAGATGATTTTAGAGCAAAAAATGAGCCAGAAATGAACCGGATGTTCAGCGTAGAAAGAAAAAGTGGTTCAGTCATTTCTCAGAGGCTAGCTGGTCTATTAAAGTTACCATCCGTTTTCATAGAAACACACTTCATGAAAGTGAAATTTTCCGGTAAAACAGATAAAACTACTGCCTATACTATTAACAACTGGAACAGAATAAAACAGAACCATTTCATAAGGTTTACTGATTGGAACTTCTCATTTGAAGAAAAATATTCACAGGCAGTGACATCCTGGCCTTGAGTCTTTCCTGGAGCTAAACAAATTATAAAACAGAGATACAGTACATGTGTGCAGACACACACACACACGCACACTCAAAATTCTTGACAAAACAGGTCAAAAGCTCTGGGTCAATGAGTTCATGTAACTTAAAGCAACAGACACTCAGAGAATGAAACACCAACACGCAACTACAGAAGGGAGGTACAGTAGCATGCACTAATGCAGAAACTCCCCCCTGTGTGTGCGAGTGTGTGTTTGTGTGAGAGTTTATCTGGGCACCGAGAGACCGGGAGACAGCCAATGACTGATAAAAAGCCTGTCTGCCAAGAAAGTCTGAAAAGCTGTGAGATTAGACGACAGCATCTGCAAAAGACCACAGAGGAATTTATCCAAATGCTTGGATGCTACTCTGAAATCAAAAAAGGAGAAAACACAAAATATAACCTTCCAGAATCACAATCATGGCAAAGTACAGTGTATGGACATGGTCTTGACACACAGCTCAAACACATTACTGCCCAATCAAAATACTGTAGTCAAAAAGTACCTCAACTGGTGAGTGTTGCATCTATAATATAATCACTACTGATGGTGTTTAGTTGTATTTAATGCAGTTCACTTACTTATTTACTTACTTACGATTCAACAGAATATGTAAAAAAGTAGGAGGAACTTGAATAGAAACCCAACTAGACACAGATAAATACTGACACACGGAGCAATAGCAGCAGAAACCAAAAAACAACAAGTCCACATACATTAATAACAAAATAAGTCATTACATGACTCATATGACCTTTCCAAAAGAAATCCATGTGAACTTTTCTCATCTGCCATCATTATGGTTGTTGCTGTGATAAAAGGTGAAAAACTAATATTATGTCCCTCTTGTATGTGAGTGAGAGAGTTACATCTTCAGTATAACAGTGCTGCAGTAAAGCAGCAGTAGTGTAATAACCCAGTGGACCATATGGAAGTCAGTGACATGTATGAGTTTGTCATCTCAGATTAAATCCCCTGTCAGAACTTTCATGAGCATCTTGGTAACAGGCAAAAATAATTTCCTTCTCTACAGTCGCTGTTCTTTTTCAAATAATTTAAAGCATCAAGCTATGACAAAAATTTGAGTCATTAAAGTAGAAAATTAATTACAATTTTGACCCGTGGTCTCTCATTTTCAGTTTTCCTACCTGATATACTGTAGTCTCATCATGGTGACACTAGAACTTTATCATGAAAAGTAAGGCACAACTTAAAGAAAAGAAAAACCCAAAATTGTAATTCTTCCATACTGATTTACAGTTTTTCACAGTTGGACAAGGACTAATACAAGGTTACAACTCAATCAGCTTTCAGTGTGTTTGCCTTTGAAAACCCTGCTGCAGTACTAGTGCATTCTCAAAGGCTCTGAACCTCACCAACATTTGTAATGAAATAAATGCAAACACTCTGCATGGTCAGATATCAGTTATGGTTAAAGTGAGATGTATTTTTCATTATGTATAATTTTGGTGAACTCACCCATTAAAAGTCAAACATCTGGCCTAATGTTCAAACATGATTCAGCATCACCTAAATGTTTAGTAATGGAGGACTGTTAACAAATGAACCTGCGTTGCTCGCAAAGTATGTGGTGCCTGGTATCTGAGAGATAGAGGTGGCACCGCTGGAGAGGAGCAGCGAGATGGAAAATAATGATGAAGGTAGACAGGTGCTCTCGGTTCTGACTCAGGAGGTATCACTGATGAATTTTAAAATTTATTTTGCAGTAGAGGGCTTAATTAATGACCGCGTGCACGAGGGATGCTCGCTCCCACTTCTCCCCAGAGGATCCCCTAATACATTTTCTCATATTTCATAATTTATTAGATAGAATATAGAATTATGAGACCTGTTTCATACAGTCCCACAGCGACCACGCACAGTTAAAAATGACACAACTCAAGGCTCTATTTTTTTTGTGAATCCCTGTTTACTCATACGCTCTACATAGTTTTTTTTCATATAATAATGCTGGTATTGGATTAAAAACAAAAAACTCCTCAACAACTTAAAAGTAGCTCATTCACAGGTTTTTCGTTGTTAAACTGATGTTGCACACATAAGAGATGATAATGAAGTTATAAATTCACTACAGTGCTCTTAAGAATGAGAAAAAAATACATTTTCTATACCTCTGTGTATTTATGCCTCTTGCTTCTGTAGCCTTTCCGTCAACTTGACAGTGTTTAATTCAAACTTTAGCTGTGTTGGACGCGTGACAGAAATGTAAAGTGCTTCCTAGACAGGCCGCTGTCCTGACTTTTATGGACAAGAAAAGCCGGCATTTATTCTAACACAAGACTGACGTGTTAAATTACCAACACATTTACAGCACGCAATAAAGAGCATGTCTGAAAGGGACTTTAAAAGAGTGGCAGCAAGTAGAAGAGCAGAGCCCAGAGACTTGACCCAAACCCCCAACAGTGCCAGAGCAGAGACAGAAACAGAGATCTCACATAGTCACACTGTCACTTCAGGAGAATCCTCTCCTCACTGTCACTGCTGCAGACAAGTGCGCCTCTCCCCCAGCCCTGGGCCCCCACACCACTGTGGTCTGGATGAGTGATGCTATCTCCCTCCTGGAGAGCCAGTGGAGCTGAGGGACAGAGGTTTGCAGCTTGGTCCCACAGGACATGATGATATTGACATATTTATTGCTAGTTTGGTTCTGGTTTGAGTGTAAAATATAAATATTACTACTAAAGCATCAATTGTTACTATTAACCATTATTTTCAATACTGAATTATGGATTACAATTCAAAACAATTTAGCTTCATGCACCACTCTACATCCCCTACACCCCCCAACTCCCAATATTCTGATTAATATTTAGGAGAATACACACAGACGTCTTAAAAGAATGAAGACAAAACTGTCACTGCCACAAGACCATATACAGCCACCACTACTAAACATAAGCTCCAACTAATGTGCCTAAGGATGTGCCGTATATTACACAACACATTCCTCGCATGAAATACATATATATGATATATAGTGCAAAGATGACATACTCTCTGAATGATAAAACATATAAGTCATTTCTAAACAAAAAATATAACCAACGAAATGCCATATTTCCAATCTGGCCTTTTCCTTAAAAACAACAACAATCACAAAATGTGAAGGAACAGCTTCACAGTTTTGTGGAAACCTGTTTCTGTCACTTAAGGATCACACTCGTATTGCTCACAGCTTTAGTGTATTATATAACAAAAAAATAAGAGAGGCCCATTTTCTACTCTGTGCACTCACTGTTCCACCACTGAAATCTGTCTGTCGCAGTCTAATCTACACAACACAAACAGTTCACTGAAACACAACACGAGATCGAAGAAATTGTAAAGTTGGATCAAAAAATACAAACAAACAAACAAAACAATTTGCAGGCTAATAATTTCAGTGGATAAACCTGCAGCACTGAATCATAATGATTTTGTGTGATATGGATTCAGACGTGATGACTGGGGAGGTCAGTGAAGTTCACTAAACTCATTGTCATGTTCATGAAATCAGTCGAGACCACTTTTACTTTGCGACATGGTGCATTTTCATGCTGGAAGTAGCCATTAGAAGATGGTAAATTCATGACCATAGACCACCACCACCAGCCTGGACTGTTGACACAAGACAGGTTGGGTCCATGGATCCATGCTATTGACACCAAGTTCTGACCCCACTACCATACGAGAACTCCAGATTAATCAGATCTGGTTATGTTTTGTGTGGCTTAGCCCACTGCAGCCTCAGATATCTATTCTTGGCTGCTGCTGTAGTCCATTCACTTCAAGGTTCAAGGTGTTGTGCATTCTGAGATGTCGTACCGCTCACCACAGTTATAAAGAGTGGTTATCTGCATTAGCCGCAGCCTCTCTGTCAGATCCAACCAGTCTGGCCACCAGCCTCTCAGCAGTTTCAGAAATACTCAAACCAGCCTCTCTGGCACCAACAATCATGTCACTGAGATCACATTTTTTCCTCATTCTGATGTTGTCTGATGTGAACATTAACTGAAGCTCCTGACCTGTATCTGCATATTTATGCACTGCACTGCTGCCACATGATTGGCTGACAATAGCATGAATAAGCAGGTATACAAAGTGTTCAGTGAGTGCATATTCATATTGGATAAAAAGTCAGGGCTCTGAAGAGGCCATAACATCTGTTGCAGACTCTTTGTTCTTCTTGTTGCTGAAGACAGTTCTTGATGTCTGTGTGTGTTTGGGCTCGGTGTCCTGCTGCAGAATGAATTTGAGACGGATCAGACGCCTCCATAATGCTACTGCATGATGTATAAGCCTCTAAACATCCAAAGAGCCTAAAACTGCAAGATCAGGAAATCTGTGAGTTCATCACCAGG